GCGACGGGGTTGGGGGCGGCTTGCTGCTGCCGCCGGAGGGGGCGGAGGACGAGTGCAAGACTCCCAGGGGCGAGGAGTACAGGATCCCGGAGCCGCTGACGTGCCCGCCGGCGCCGAAGCGGAGCCGCAGGCACTGGTCGGAGAGGCGGGCGTGCGCCGCGGGGAGGGAGGAGTGGGAGGAGGAGGAGGAGGAGGAGGAGGAGGACGGGGAGGAGTCCGTGGATTCTTCGGAAGTGGAGGAGGCGCTCAAGAAGATGCGCTAAAGGAATAACGATGGAGCAGCCATTCCAGATCTCTCTTTAGGGTTTTTCTTCTTTACAGATAAACGGAACCATAGCCTGCGTGATAAGGATTTAAGGGGTTTGTTTGATCTTGCTCTTGGGAGACTCTTGTGTGTGTGTGCGTGTGTTCGTTCCATGCATGTGGAGGACGATGAGCCGAAGGGCCTCTCGCGTTCTTCGTTCAGGCGTCCTTCGCGCGCGGTCGTTGCAAACTTCTCTTTAAGGAATGTGTCGAAACTTTGAATTATTTACCATAAGATGCAAATTCGCATGCTATAGGGCTTAATCTTATCCACCGTTCTATTTCCTTATAAGGGTCGGTCCATATATGACAGCTGAATCTCGGTTGGCTGAATGCCCTTATGGCTCTAGACTTGCGACTCTAGGGCACCGTGGATCGAGGCTGAGTACTGGAGGGACGACCTATGTATCATGCTCGGTTTCGATAGATCGAGTCGATCGTGGTTCGGAATGGTCGCCGGTGCTGTTCCGAATGCTTTGAGTTTGTAACCGTTGGGGGCTCGAAAGAGGAAGAGACGACTTTATGGTTTAGTTTTCGATCGTTGTGCGTTGCGCGATCACTCGGCTTAAAGAACCACCGAGTCCAAAACAATCGTTAAAAATCCGTTAGAACATATCGTCTTTGCTTCTACGATCCAAAATCCAAAACAACCGTTAAAAACTGTTGAATATACTGTTTTTGCTTCCGCAACGTGGCGAAACAAAAAACAACCACATTTAATAAAGAAAAGACGGCGTTCAACATATCATCTTTGCTTCTACGGTTCCAAAACAACCGTTAAAAATTGTTGAACGGTGTCTTTGCTTCCGCGACATGGCGAAATAAAAAAAAAACAAGCACATTTAATAAAAGAAAAGACATGGCGATCGGTTTCATAATATCTAGGTTCAAGATAAAAGAAAAGTCAACTAATTTTGTCGCTAGATTTCAATTCCTTATAAGTTCGTTTAACAACTTTTTTCCTCTATTGCTTTTTATTTACTACAATGATGCTTTATTCGTTATGATGTCGCGGCGACAAATAAGCAATAGGATGATATGGAATATCAACTCAAGTTTAGATATAAAACTCATTAAGCCGTGCAACTAGAGAATCGCTATAAACCGATATGGCTTGGGTGTCAACTATTTCGAAAGTAAATCAAACCGTAAAATCAAACATTATTACATGTTTTATTAAATTTTATTATAATTTATATTTGAATAACAAGTAGCCTATTTTTAAAAAAAATTGAAATAGGTTGAACTTCTTTTGACCAAAAAAAAAAAAAGAGTAGGTTGAACTTTCATTCCGTACAATATGTGAATTTTTTAATTTGAAACATAAAGTGTTGTTTTGATTCTTTTCCTTTTATTCAAATGAATTGCCTTTGAGATCAAACGAGCGCACGCGAGACGGCGACGCTGCGCCCTGCGGATCGTGCGGGAGCTCCGTCGATCGAACCAGAAGATGGATGGCGGCGGCGACTCCCTCGCCCAATTCATACGCGGGGAAGTCCCCGACTGGGACGATGAAGTGGTGGCGGCGGCGCGGTTCAAGGCCTTCAGCGGCCAGAGGTCCGACTGGGAGCCCAGGTACCGGTTCTGGAGGGACTTGATTCTCCGGATCGCTCGCCGCTTCGGCCTCCTCATCGTCGACCCTTCTCAGGTTTCGTTTCGATTACGTCTATTGGGTTGTCTAGTTTTGGGGGAAAAATCGCATCTTGCGATGCTCCTCCATGTGGGTTTTCTCTCTTTTGGTTGGGGGGGGGGGGGGGGGCTGGAATTGCTGGACTGGAATTGATGCGTCCCTTTGTTTGTTCAAGGTGACGAAGGAATGGTTTAACCGCGGCGGTTTGACTCCTCTGTGCATCGATCATGTTCTGGTAAGCTTAGTGGTGATGGTTTGCTTTGTGGCATAGCTATGGTGCTCCATGATATGGCTTTCGTGAACGTCGGCTATCGGTTTGGTATCGTGCTACTCCGAGCCATCAATCGAATAGTTTATGGAATTGCCGAACCAATTTGGGAAATTTCCGATGCAAGTATTCTAGTTTTGCTGGGACTTATTAGGCATTGAGTTGCTTTAGTGAAATTATGCTCGATACTTAGTGTGTTGTGGCCCAGATGCTGGGGGCAATTACGCGGTTTTGCTTCGCTTTAGTAGATTTAGCATTGGTTCCTGCATCTTCTGCGGTGCGCCTTTTGTAATTTTTTTGGGATAGAGTTACTAACTACTTGTCCCCGTGAGCTTGTGGGTTGTCTTTATTCTTCATTTTTCAGTCTTTGATGTATGATGAAGGTGATATTCTCCGAAAAGCTGATCTTGGAGACCCAAGTAGCGGACGGCTTTCCCAGATTTTGAGGAAAGTAAGACTTTTGGTGGTTAGACCGTCGAGTAGCGAAGCAGTACTGGAAGATAGTGTCATTCTTGCAGCTCTCCTCAAGGTGTGTATGTTGATAGCCACTTTTAAAAAACCTTAAGCACAGTTTTGGTCTATGAGATCTGTCTTGTTGAAATTGCATTTTGCGGGATGGAGCGGAGGGGAGGTTTTTTTGCTTTGGAGTGTATTCAGTTACATCTTTTCTTTGTAAAGGGATTTATACTGTAGATCGATATTTATTTACCTTTATTTGTTTTTCATAATCCACAAGAACCTGAATCTGCTATTAGTTACTTTCACCTGACAACTACAGAATAGGCAGTGGTCTTCATAAAGCGATCTTGTGACGGAATCTCAAATATGTCACGTGCTGGTTATCTCATTTTTCTAGGAGAAAGCATGCGAAGTTGTCAATGTCTTATCTGAGAGCAGTTGGACATCTTCATGCATTGTAACAAGGAGAAGGTTCGGGGAGATTTGTGGAGGACCTGATGAAGAATCTATCATTTTGAGCTATTTGTCAGGATGCAGAAAAGCACAATACTTGTCGATTCACAAGAAGGAACATATAGAGGTATTCTATGTCTTATCTTTTTTATTTCTCTACCATTACTGATTGTGTTTCCCTGATAGCCCTTGGCATGGTTAATTACTGAACTTTTTAGAGGGTAGAACAGGATATGTTGTTGTCTCGGTACCATCCATAAAGTCTATAGAGGTACCAACATTGAATTTAGTTTTTTAAGGTACAAATGAAGGGAAATTCTGTTATTTCTTATCAAGTCGGCCTTTAATCTTTTAAATACCTTCACTACAAGCTACCTTGCCGGTGTCTGAGTTTTGATCAACAAAGACAAGAAGGAAGAATTGTTATCTCAAATGATTGTTATTTTGATGTCGCGCTTCTTGCAGGGTTAATTATATTTTATGAGTTTCCACTTTGCAGGGTGTTAAAGTTTCTCTTACGGCCGCTGCAGTTTCCACTATCACAAGTCTAGATCATGACGTTTTGCACTTAATTTGGACGACGGAAAAGCTTCAACAACAACTCGACTTGATTGATCGACGCTATGAGAAGTAATTACTCCTGTATTGTGTCTAGTTGATTGTTGAATAATCTCATATATTTTCATGCTCACCAAGTAAATGTTGGAGTAAAATTTAAGTATCTGAACTGATGCGTGACTGGCATCATTTAAATACATGGAACGGGAACATTTTTCATTTGCATTCCTGTTATAGGAGCTTGCTCTATGTGTAACTCGTTAATGTTTCTGTAACTTAATGTTGTTTTCTGATATCTATTTGCAGGACCAGAAGTTTAGCTGCTGCTTCTCTGAAAGCTGGAAACAAGAAAGTTGCGCTCAGGTATGCAAGGGAGTTGAAGCTGGCCTCTGAGAGCAGAGAAAAATGTGCAACACTCTTGAACAGAGTGGAGGAAGTTCTTCAGATTATTTCTGATGCTGAATCTACAAAAAAGGTATCTGAATATTTAGGTGATGCCGAACCATTGACTAATATCGAGGATATATGCAGATCATCCTGCTTCCTTAATATTTAGGTGATTCTAAAAATACTAACTTGTAATAGCTGATTATAGGTTTCAGAAGCGATCCAGATTGGAGCTCGGGCAATTAAGGAAAACAAGATCAGTGTAGGGGAAGTTGAACTTTGTCTGGAAGAAATTGATGAGAGCATTGATTTCCAGAAGCAAGTTGAAAGGGCTCTAGGTATATGATATCCCTTTTCCCACTTATGGTCTGTGTCTTTTCAAGTTTTGCTTTTCTGACTCGTCTTCTTTCCTGCTCACAGAATCAACATCATCTGGCAGATTTGAGGATGAGGATGTCGCCGATGAGTTTAGGAAGTTAGAGTTGGAAGTTGGGAAAGAACACTCTCAGATAGGTGATCAGATAGATAATGCTGCAAAAGAAGCAGAGGAATTGGAATCTGCGGCCTCTCTAAGTGATGCCTTTTCAAATCTAAAACTTGCAGTTGGTGCATCCGAGGAACTTGGGCACGATGGTGCACCTCGAGCAAGTGAGGAGGAACATAAATATTCAAAGTTTGAAGCTGAAGCTGCTTAGCACGAATGCTTACAGAGATTTCATCAATGATAAATTTGCAAGATGTTTCAGCTCACTTGATGGTGACCTGAGATTTTTGTAATTATTCTCTTTAGCGCAATGCATTTGGTCTGACATTCGATAGTAACTTGAAATGTGGAACGGTGTAATATGATATACAGTTTCTCTGATAATGTACCTTCATGTATATGAGGCAACTTGGATGTGTCTTGAGCAATGTACCGTATGCAGCTCCATTATGAAGATGTATAGCAAAGATCTGTAGCTTTTGATTGTTTTCCTTTTCGGGAAGAGCTATTGTTTACATGAAAGTTTTCCTTCTGTCAGACCGTTAAACAAGCAAACCAGTAGACAGCTCCATTTTTTGCAGTCCAGTATAATGCACAAGTGGTGAATGATCATTTTGGAAAAAGAATGTTTGTCAATGCTACTTTTTTTAAATTCTCCCCTCCGCCATACTTCAAAGTAGGCATCCTCATTGGGAACAAAATTGGCAGAGTCTTGCTTTTGAGAGACCTCTTATTTCCCGCATGTACAATGTTGCTCAGAGGGAATTAAGACATTGTCCACAGGGTAAATGCCTATTAAACAAGTATTTACTGGCACGCACGATATGACCTCCAGCTTCTCAGAATTCCTTGTTCTGGATTACATCGCAATTGCCAGATCGGGCTGCAGATTCCCCGTGTTCAACTGCAGTGGTTGTTCCAGAAACATCCGCAGCTGAAACTGGTCGTGTTAGGGTCGGAATGAAAGGCAAATATGGAATTGGGTGGACTCCAAACATAGGTATGCCGGTTCCATTACTTCGAGGCAAAGTGGGGGCTCCAGAGATAGGCGGGATTGGGAACTGAAATGTGCTGCAATCGGCTCCTGCGCCTATTCTCATACCCATTCCTAGTGGGAATTGACTCATATGCGGTGTGTGCATATTATGTACGCCTGTGGGTAACATCATCGGAGACATGAAAACCGGCGACCTAGTCGACATAATCTGCATCAAGTTACAGGTTCAGGATATATTGTTGCTCGTGTTATTTCTAATGCATTAGCATGCAGCGTCAGAAGAATTCCTTTTTACCTGTAATTGATGCTGAAGGGTCTTTAGATACTCGATCACCTCATCCAGAACCGAAGCTTTATTCACCTTATTTTCAGAGAAAGAAAGAATGAGCTGGAAGGAAGACGTGCACAGTGATCATCGAGTATTGGTAAAGAGTTACAGTTCCTTTGTTATGCAGGGGGATCATGTGGTAGGTTGCTTTATTTTATTCATCTGAATCGAAATTAATACCAACCTTGTCACAATTTGGCAGAAGTTCCTGCAAGGCACGCAATCTCTTATTGATTCTGTCTCTGCGTCTCTGTTATAACATGCGACGGTTAGATCACTTATTGGTTTGCTCTATTAATTCTATGCGTTCAGGGTACCTACTCTTTCTGATAGATTGTGAATTGTTGCTCTGCTTCGAGTCCGTACTTTTCGCTTCACCTCTTCTGTTTCATCATCATCATCCTCATCCTGCAGCAAAATGGCAATTGAATATCACGGTCACATAAGTTGTGTGGGATGGTCGGAGAAACACGCATGAAGGAGAGAGAATTCCAGTTGCGTCACTTACATCACCTGGATATATCGATTCGGAGTCTTCGTGCTTCCTCTTCAATGTACCTACTGGATAGTTGGAGGCTTCTCGCGAGCACACAGAAGAAGATGCAACCGGTGTCGGGTCACAAGGTCGTCGCTCACCGGGCATTGTTTTATCTATAGCCGTCGCTGCTATGGTCGACGACGGATCCCGGCATTGATCTTTAGATTTTCTGTTTCTAAGGGAATTGTCTTTTACGCCAAGGACTATAGAGTGTTCATCAGGAAAAGCGTTTCCTGAAGTCTTATCATCCGTGAACATCGGCTTCGCCTTATCATCCGCTAAATCCGCTCGTCTTCCAAAAGCCGCTGCCGGCTCAGTCAATGGCGCCTCTCGGGCATCTCCGATGCCTGCTCTCTTGTCAGTTTTTGTCTCCGCGCGGGGGAGATCTTCAACGGTTGGTAATCTCATTGGCAATTCGGTCGTCTCTCTATTCTTAGCCCTGAGGACGACAGGCGGCCGTAAGAAGAGGGAAAAGTTCGTGTTTTTGGGCTTGCGGAGAGAATTTGACTCCCTCAACACCATCGCCTTGGACGAGTAGTGATTGACCGACCACATATGGGGGTTTCGACATAATCCTGATCCCACGAACCGAGTCGAATCTTGGCCTTGCTGCATGGGAGACTGATACGGCCAACGGTGACCGTCGTCGCAAGTCTTGGTAGGGTGAGAGGATTTCCTGATGAACAAGGACTCGTTTCTTGATGACACTGGATGATCTGCATCTCCATGTTTGGAAGCAGCGTCCACCACATATGTCCGATTCTTATCATCAGGAGAAGTTACTACATCATCATCATGAGCATTGCCTTGAGCAGAAGAGTCCATGCCATTGTGGTGTGCAACGCCCCGAATATAGAAGTCACCAGGGAAGGGATTTTTCACACGAGTGCCTGAGTCAGGAGCATTGTAAGCCACTTTGCCGTCATTAGACCGGCTGGAGACGACGCATCTGCTTGGCGGAGTGCTTCCTCTCATCACAATCCCGCCATTTTCCCACACCAGCTCCACAAACTCATGGTCAGGCCTGCACAGCCTCATGAGCCAAGAAAATTAAATCAAGAGCACTAGGGAAAGAAAAAGGACGAGAACATCTTGATCAAGGCGTGAAGATGGGTCGCGACATCTCAAGAACACGAAGCAACTCACATGGAAGCAGCTGCTAGGTTTGCTAAAACCCTCGTCCCGGTCAACGTCGATCTTCCTTGATGGCCTCTGTATTCCTCCAGCATCTGCGTGCGAAAGGAACGAGGAGGAGAGATGCCAACTGGCGGCAGAGGCTGCGGTCGATGATGGTTCCGAGCAACTCGCCAGTCACTCCACACAACACCAAACGCAAGGAAGGGAAGAGAAGGTGTCCACGGGGCTGCAAGATACTGAAGCGAGCCTATCAGGATTTTAATATATGGTGGTAAGCAGTGAAGCGTGAGCGTGAGCGTGACATACCATCAGGGTTTGAGTTGGTCCCCACACGCGGATGCTACAAACCAAAAGACACTCCCCGTTTCCATCCAAATCCAATGTCCCCCCTGATACTTTGGAGGTGGGGGGCTGGATCGGGAGCTTCAAACTTTTAATCCTCCCACTTCATTTCTGGGGCCCATCTCCCACCCATCTGTGTGATCCGAGGATGCACGTAACCCCACCTCTTTGATTTCAACAGCGTGTCTCTCTGTTCACCCCTCTTGAGAAATCTTTACCAGTTTCTTGGTTGGTGGAGATATTGGAAGCTTTGGTTTCAACGTGCCTTTGTCAACATGCGGTGCAAACCCAACCCGAGTAGCATTAATGTCCTCTCACTTTGGAGGTGGGGTGGGTTCTTGAAAGAAATTTGGCTACTTGATGGCCAGAAACAAATCAAAGCGGATATCAGTTGGTGTTGGACGTAAGCCATCACTGCATATCTTTGGAGATTCATTCCGGGTTTGATGAGGCGGAACCTGTTCCATTCAAGAGATCACTTTCCATCTCCCTCGCCACGTTCGAGCAGCACCAGACCAGAAGAGAAGAAGTGACATGAAAGTTGGCGGGGGGGGGGGGGGGGGTAAGTGGCCGTCGCTTTCGCGGGTTCATTTTCCTCCAGATGAGATGAATCATGATAATGTCGCCCTCCCACGTTGCCGTGCGCTGGCGAAGGAACCCCCCACGATATCCTTCGACACGGAACGAACCTCAGAGGCGCGCAAAACGACAAACCGGAGTTTCGGAAGGACTGCGATGAGATAAGGCCCCACGTGGAGGGCGATGGATATGGGGTGGGGTGGGGGATGGGGTGGGGGGGGGGGGGGGGGAGGTGGTGGCAGCGGGACGTTGCGTGGGGGCGGCGTCGGCCTGTCGGATCGGTCGCTGGAGGAAAAAGCTCGGTGGCAGTGGTGGTGGGTGGTGGGGAGAGCAAAAGGTGGGGGGTGGTCCTTCACGTGATCCGGGCGTGGTCCACGTGACCGTGTTTTTGCTCCGCCTCCTCCTACGGGGCTTGTCCTGCCCGAACAGTACACTTGTACGATGCTGCTGCTGCCAGACAGAGAGAGAGAGTGAGAGAGAGAGAGAGAGAGAGTGACGAAGCGAAACCCGGCCAATCATAATCGCATCGCCACCGTCGGATTAGATGGCGATGTCCTGTCGTGGGGGGCCCACCGCAGTGACATCCTCGTTCGATTGACCGCTCGTTCGATGACGGTGATGAAGATGTGTCTCGTCGATGGCAACGAGGGAAAACCCCCTTACAAGACCAAATGCGCGGAGCTTTCTTGGGGTCCACCAACCTGTTTTTTTATTTTTTCCCCTCCTTGGGGCCCACGGACCTATATCAGAGGACGACACATAATATCACGAAAAATCTCAAACTAACATATTTGTGACAAAATTACCTTAAATTAATTTTTTAATCACAAAAAATCTCAAACTGATACATCTGTAACAAATTTTACCGCAAAGTAATTTTTTGACCACCAAAAACCTCAAACTGGTACATTTGTGACAAATTTACCCTCCATTAAATTGAGTTAATACAAAAAAAAATCACAAATTAGTATACGTGAGGCAAACAGAAGGTAAAACCTCAAACCAGTACATTCGTCAATTGTGATGTGTCATTTAAATAAGCAATTTGACAGTAAAAATTAATGGAAACTAACTGAGGGTAAATTTTTCACATGTGTACCAGTTTTGGTGGTCAAAAAATTAATTTTGAGTAAATTTGTCACAGATGTACCGATTTGAAATTTTTCGTGGTAATAACCCTATAATAAATTAGGATCATCCCCTATACCCTCCCTCGAGGAACAAGTACAGTGTGTCACTTCAGGGTAAAGAAAAAAAATGCTTCTTGAAAAAATCATTTTATATGAAAATATTTTCTCCCTTTTTCTAATTAGTGAATTCATTTTTCTAATATTAAGCATGCGTATTTTTTTTAATCATAGATGATTTTCTATCGACCGATCACTTTTAGCAAACTGAACGCGTGAATGGATTGATTGATTATCCTTGAATGAATTTGGTTTACTGTTTTTTTTTTTTGGGAAAAGTACTAAAAAAGTCCTAAACTTATTACATTAGTATCAATTCAATCCATTCGGTCAATTTAAGCCGGAAATCGCTGATGTAGACAAAATTTATAATTTTTTAAATATTTTTTCAGAATTTTTTTATTGCTTTTTTAAATTTACTCCTTTTCTTTTCTTTCTTTTTTTTCCTTTTCTTTATACCGTGGGCCGACAACTCTCGTTGGTCACAGGCGAGACCGCTAAGTCATCACCCAAATCCAAGCGAGGGCCTTCGCACCCTCGTCGGCCACAGGCGAGGGTGCGGAGGCCCTTGCTCATGGCCGGTTAGGGTGCAGTGGCCCTCGCCCAAACCAGCCTGTGGCTGGCGTTGGTTGGCCAGTGAGGGTAAAGAAAAAAAAAGGAAAAGAAAAGAGAAAAAAAAAAAGAAAAAAGGTATTTAAAAATTATGAATTTTGTCCACATTAATGCCGACCATGCCATGTAGGATTGCCAGCATCCAAGTCAGTAATTTCTAACTTAAATTAGCCGGATGAACGGTTACTACCAATACAATATATTTAGGACTTTTTTGGCACTTTTCTTGTTTCTTTGGTGGTTGATGAGCATTTTTTTTACAATCTTGAGAAAGAGAGAGGACCAAGTAGGAGCACTTAAAGGTCGGGAGCTCCACGTGTCGATCACTAAGTGGCACGAGACTACACCAAAGTAGTAGAACTAGGACTAACTTTACCATCGACCATTGGGGAAACCAAAACCCTTTAGGCTAAAATTCTTTGCATTTCTAAAAAAACTTTTCCTAAATGCTTTCCGAAACGCATCATGTGCCTTCAAAGTTCATTTACACATGGTGGCATTCGCGCTCTCTCTCGACACTACCTCTAAAATAAAAACTCGTGTATTATCGTAATCACTTAGCATGAGAGTCGGCAAGACCAAGATAGAACGCATCTGATGAGGTTAGTAGGGTATTCCAACGATTTAGAATATTTATTGTAAGCCCCAAAAGAAAAGACCAATCAAATTGAGATTCATCGCTAACGAAGTGCTGAATGTGAATCAAGACCTATATATATCCTAAGTCGAATTTGAGCCAGATAGGCAAGAAATTAAGGAAGAGTTCACCGATTGTCCGATCATGATCAAGTAACTATTGCACTGCCCTTCAACTTAATATTTCATGATTGAACTTCAACATGTGCACCCCCTTTCAGCCCAATTGGCATAACTACGACACAAACCTACAATGCAACTTGAACCCCGATCGCATTTAAAGTCCTGATCTAACTCAAAACGACACGAACTTGAAACTGAATCGGAGTATGTAATAAATTAATTGAGTGAATTAGGATTCATGAAATTTCCTAATTTCTTTTTTGCTGGTGCTCTTTTTCGTCTTTGAAAGAAAGGGTTATTTCTTATCGTTGTAGAAGCATTCTCTGCTGAAAACAAAGCCTGCTATGAATTTCGTTTAATAAGTCGATAAGTATAAACCATAGCTTTGTTCCATTCATATGGGAAACGGTCCAACTCCAAAAGCCCAATCTTGTGATGCTAATTGCCATGTCCATTTAGGGGCCAGCTCTTCTCGATTTTCATTCGAGGGCTGATTCCCTAAGAAAAATCCTCCACTTTAGACCCAATTTTAATGAGATAAGTGCATTAAAAATCCTAAAACTTGTCACGAAAGCGCAATTGAGTTTTCAAACTATCAAAAAATGCAATCAAATCCAAAAACTTGTCAAGTTAAATAGAGTTTATGAAAGGACTTGATTGCACAAACTTGACAAATTTTAAGATTTGATTGCACTTTTTGAAAGTTTTAGGACTCAATTGTATTTTCATGACAAGTTTTAGGACTCGATTATGTACTTTTTGAAAGTTTTAAAACTCAATTGTACTTTCATGACAAGTTTTTAAGACTTTCAGTGCACTTACCATTTCTTTATGTCTCGAACTTTGACTCTATTACCAAATTTATCCATTCGCCCAAAAATCGCCTTTGGCTTATTCAAAATTACCAACATTAGAAGATTATTGCTATTTCATATGAAGGTGAGGGTATTGACAAACATGTAGGTTCTAATAATGAATCTCTAACTAACCAAGATTTGATAATTTTGAAGAAATTAATGGCGATTTTTTGATGTGTAGGCAGATTTGAGATTAGAGCAAAAGTTTGGAATTTTTCTTTAGGCAAAAGAAAAGTTCGAGGCAAAATTGGGATCGAACCTTAAATTGGGGTATTTTAGGAAATTGAGCCTTGGTTCGGCCATGATTTCTCTGGTTAGTCGTTAGAAATTTTTTGTTGTTGGTGGGCTCGGACATTAGACTTGTATCCAAACTTGAATTTAATGAATTATGTCTCCATCCATCACGGTGGATAGAATTAATAACAGCTAAAAGATGGAATCAGACCAGGGACAAAAAGATCAGGACCAAATAGAATCCAAATCGTGATGCAAACTTTGTCAGCTCCCATGCAACCCAATTCTCTTGGAATTTACCATTTGTCCCGACAAGGACCATTCTGCAAATTTTATTCTAAGACACAGCATCATGGTTCCTAACTGCAATCTTCATCATCTTTTCAATCTTCCTTTTGTTTATTTCTTGACTAGAAGGGCTTCTGATTTTGGCAATCCAAGTTGGGTCCGGTGTCCACCCCGAACAGCTTGGCGTATCTCTGGAAGAAGCCGATCCGGTTGTTGACCCTTGCGTCGCCGGGGATTCCGCACTCGAGGCCGCCGTTGATTATGTTGGTGACGAGCCCGAACCCGGCCGTCCGGTTCGCCGCGAGGTCGGCCTTGGACGGCCGGTACTTCCCGACCATGACGGTGTGGCAGGAGGTTTTGGGCTTCCTCTCTGTCGTCCAGAACCACAGCGCCGTCTTGAACGCGACCAGCGAGTTGTTGGACACCGTCTCCGGGTTCCTCAGGCCGTCGAAGCCGAGCGCTTTCCCGGCGGGTCCGTAGTTGAAGTTCCTGCCACGTGGCAAATCCTTGTTATCTTTAACTACACGAATGCAGCACAACTCTCGCCTATGCTCGCTATTCCAATGACCAGAGCTTCTTAAATTTTGACGATATGTATGAGATATAGCTATGGAGGGTCATGGTTCTTACCAAGATAGTTGGATGGGTCCTCTTCCTTTGTAAGACTTGCCCGGATAACAAGGCCATTCCTTGTCGCTTGGATCGCAGTAGTCGCTCTGCGGGCTCACCTCCTCCTTGAAGCACAGCCCCCACGCATACGGTCCGTCCGGCGCCGTCGCCCACCCACCGGTCGTCTCGTGCGACACCTGGGCAAGGAAGGCTGCGATCTCGCGCTTGCGCATCCTCACACTCCCAGTGCGGCCAAACTTCGGGAAGCAGCTCGCGGCTCGCACAAACGAGTCGTAAGTGTAGAAGTCCTTGGCTGGGCACGCACTATCGTCCTTGTGAAGGAAGATGCCGTCGAAGAGCTGTTCGGGGATCAGGGAGGCGATGGACGCCCCACCGCGCGCCTCGGTCACAGGCGGGGATAGGGTTAAGAGAGAGGAAGCAAGGGCGAGTAAGAGAAAGACGAGGGATCTAGCCATGGCTCGCTAGGGTTTTGTCCCAATATAATGCTTGTGATGGGTGAAGGTAAGGCTTATTTATCATGCCAATGTCGGAGAGAGAGGCAGAGTGATGTGCACGATGTGCTTGCTAAGTCAGTGGTCAAACACTTTGACTGGGCTACGATCATTGAATTGGCCAATAGTTGGCCAATGGCCATTGAATGACAACTCTATTATGACCAGACATATGATCCAAGAACCTAAGCCGTAGCCTCGGCCATATCTGCATATTTTAATTAATCTCCAGTCGTTGTTTATGCCATAATACATATAAATACATCCAATCCTACGCCTGCCATCGTTGCAGCGAACGACGGTAACTTCGTGTATTTCCTATTTCACGTGCATTTTTTTTTTTTTTGGTCAAGTATTTCACGTGCATTCACAAGGAGGAAGGGAAAACGAAAAAGGGTAAGCGTCACATGCAGCCTTTCTCAAGAACGCGGAAAAACTCTAAAGAGATGTCAGAGTTGACTGTAGTTAGTTTAATTCTATATTGATATATGCATGTTGGAAAAATAAAATTTGAAATTGATGTTCAAATATGTCTTGAAGGATAGCTTGGATTACGAAAATCATTTTTTTATTTCCAACAGCCTCCCTTAAACCGAGCTCATCTTGACCATGCCGATCATTCTCTTGAGTTTAAGGAAGGAGTCCGTCTTCAACGGCTTAGTAAACATGTCAGCCACTTGGTCTTCCGACTTGTAAAACTGTAACACAATCTCCTCGGACTTCACTAGATCTCGAATGAAATGATACTTTATATCAATATGCTTGCTTCTTCCATGAAAGACCGGATTCTTTGCAAGGGCAATTGCTGACTTATTATCACAATTAATCACCGTCGGATGCTCCTGCTTATGACGTAATTCAGCAAACATCAAACGTAGCCAAACTGCTTGAGTAGCACAATAAGCCATTTCTATATATTCCGCTTCCGCATTGGACAAAGCAACCACCTGTTGCTTCTTCGAGGACCAAGAAAAAATTCCATTTCCTAAAGAGAAAACATAACCGGAAGTACTCTTCCTTTCTCCAATATCACCTCCTCAATCACTGTCTGTATATCCCATAAGCTGAAAATCATTAGAAATAGTGTAGAATATACCATCATCAACAGTACCTTTAATGTATCGTAGAATTCTTTTCACCGCCTGCAAGTGTGATTGTCTAGGAGTCTCTATAAATCTGCTTACCATCCCAACACTATAAACAAGATCTGGCCGAGTAGAAGTCAAATATCGTAGACTCCCGACTAGCCTCTTGAAATATGTGGGATCGACTTCGAAGCCACTTCCATCTTTTGTTAACTTCAATCTTTCCTCCATTGGAGTGCTAATTGGTTTACAAGTAGCCATCTTGAAACACTTAAGAATGTCCTTGACATACTTTTGTTGACAAATAAAAATACCATCCTCCAATTGTGTAACTTCAAGGCCGAGAAAATAATACATGAGACCCATGTCCGCCATCTCAAACCCACGAGTCATGGCCTCCCTGAAGTCAGAAATCATCTCAGGACAATTTCCGGTAAATATGAGATCATCAACATTTAGGTAAACAATGAGCATCTCACCGTTCAAGCCAATCTTCACATATAAAGCATGCTCATAAGGACATCGGTTACAACCATGATTCATGAAATAAGAATCAATTCTGGTATACCATACTCGCGGTGCTTGCTTGAGACCGTAAAGAGCTTTCTTCAATTTGTAGACGAAACCCTCTTGTCCTTTCTTGACATACCCCTCAGGTTGATCCACATACACCTCCTCCTCAAGTATGCCATTGAGAAATGCGGACTTGACATCCATTTGGTGTATTTTCCAACGTCTTTGAGCAGCCAAAGCAAAGATCACGCGAATAGTTTCCATTCTTCCAACATGAGCAAATACCTCAAAATAGTCAATCTCGGATTTTTGTTTGTAACCCTTGACTACAAGACGAGCCTTCAACCGATCAACATCACCATTAGGCTTCTACTTGGTCTTATAGACCCATTTCATGCCGATGGACTTCTTGCCTTTTGGAAGAGAAGTGAGCTTCTATGTATCATTTTTCTCAATCGCATATATCTCATCATCCATAGCACGAACTCGACCATCATCTTGGGAAGCCTCCTTAAAGTTTGTCGGATCACAATCTGTAAAGAGAGCAAAATTAATAATTTCTTCCTCAGAGGGATCGTCATCATTGGACAAAACACAATCCCTCAAATGAGCCGGTAAAACTCGTTCTCGCCGTGGACGTGATGACGTTTCAGCAGAATCCGACTGAGTCTCTGCTACCGGATCAGGTTGCATCGATGCCGCTACTAGTTCAGATTGACCATCTGAATCGGGTTGAACTAACTTCTCTTCGTCCAGGACAAAGTGAAATTGCTTCTTCTCCTCCATGCTCCAAGTCCACTCACCTTCCTCATCAAAGGTGACATCTCGACTGATAACCACCTTCTTTGTTATTGGATTATACAACCGATAACCCTTGGCTCATTACTGTAACCAAGGAAGATGCACTTCTCGCGCTTCTCATCAAGCTTCTTGCGAAGCTCATTTGGCACATGGGCATAAGCAATACACCCGAACACGCGAAGATGCTGAACTAAAGGGGTTCGACCACTCCACACCTCCGCCGGAGTCTTGAACTCAAGACCTTTAGTAGGACACTGATTCAACAAGTAAACAACACAAGCAACCGCCTCTGCCCAGAAATGCTGAGGCAATTGTTTGGAACGAAGCATGGTGCGAACCACATCAACAATAGTGTTGTTTTTTCTCTCTGCTACTCCGTTCTGTTGAGGAGTATACCGTGCTGTCAATTGATGCTTGATGCCACACTATTTGAAGAAGCCATCACCAACCAAATATTTAGTGCCATGATCAGTTCGAAGAATCCGAATTTGGTGCCCACATTGTTTTTCTACATAGGCTTTGAACTCCTTGAAAGCATCAATGGCGTCGGACTCGTGCTTCAAGAAATAAACCCATGTTTTCCGGCTAAAGTCGTCGATGAAGGTAACAAAATAATTGTACCCCCGATTTGACGATTCACCGAGCGGTCCGCAGAGGTCAGAGTGCACTAACTCCAACGGCTTTGAAGCTCTCCATGATTGTCCTGAAGGGAAGCTTTCTTTGCACTTTTTTCCAATAACACATGGTTCACATATCTCCTTCGGAGAAGAAATTTCGGGTAGTCCACGCACCATCTTCTTTCGAGACAACAGCTTCAAGCTATCAAAATTCACATGCCCGAACCGCTTGTGCCAAAGCCATGAAGAATCTTGCACCGAGGCACTAAAACACGAGGTAGCATAATTAATATACAAAGGAAAAAGTCGATTTCGAGCCATTTTTACCTTCGCAATCAACCCTCCTTTGCCATCATGAATCGTGCAAAGCTTATCCTTAATGGTCATGTGATAGCCTCGCTCGGACAATTGTCTCATGCTTAGGAGATTTTCTCGAAGACTGGGAACATAATGAATGTCGGAAATGCTTTGAACCGACCCATCCTTCACCTTGATTTTAATTGTCCCCTTTCCCATGATAGGAACTTTGGCATTATTCCCGAACCTCACCTCTGAACGAAAGGTGTCATCAAGTTTTGGGAATAATTCCTTCTCGCTGCACATGTGATTGCTACATCCAGTGTCTAAGTACCAAATGTTCTTCTGGTTATCCACCGCAGCATCACACGTGAATAAAAGACCATTGTCATGCTCATCGTCGCTATTAACAAATCTTGCTACCTTGGCATGAAACTTTTGACCACCAATCTTTTTGCTTCGGCAATCAGATTGGTAATGCCCATACTTTTTACAATTAAAATACTGAATATGGGACTTATCTTTTCGTTGTCCAGAATGCTTCTCTTGCCACTTTTTATCTTTCCTTTGATTAGAAAGTTTCTTCTTTTCATCGGGCAACACCAACTGGCTTTGTAGTGCTTCCTCTACCGTCTTGGATTTCTCCTTGAGTCGCTGCTCGTGCATTTGTAGAGAGCCCATCAACTCATCAACGGTCAAAATAGAGAGATCCCGAGACTCTTCAATGGAAGTCGTAATATATTCGAACTGCAAAGTTAGCGTCCGAAGAATCTTTTCAACGATCTATTGGTCACCAATAGTCTCACCATTGGCCTTCATTTGATTGACAAGAGCCAATGTCCGTGAGAAATAGTTGGAAATGGACTCCGACTTTTCCATTTGAAGGAGCTCGAATTGTCGACGAAGAGTCTGAAGCCGAACCTTCTCAACGCCTTTGTATATTTTGATGAGAGAGTCCCAAGCTTCTTTTGCCGTCTTCAAATTCGTCACTTTTTCAAAGATTGACGAATCTATAGCTTGAAAGATGTAAAAGAGAGCCTTACGGTCTTTCTTGCGATTTTCTTTTATCGTCCTCTGCTCCTCCGTTGTCAAATTTGTCGGCGTTTCTGGCTCCCCGAATCCTTCTTCCACAATCTCGTTCAGCTCCTGAAACCCGAATAGCACCTCCATCTGGATCTTCCAATGCTCAAATTCTTCGCATTGAACCATGGGAGTTGAGGTTGGATCGTCCCGGCACCATTCACAGAGGTCATATGACACAAGATTTTCTAAGCCGAATTCATAAAACTCAGCCAAAACTGGCTCTGATACCAAATGTTGGAAAAATAAAATTTGGAATTGATGTTCAAATATGTCTTGAAGGATTTCATAATATTTATAGACCCTTTAGATAACTAGAACAATTAAAAATATCTTGAAAATAAGCAACAATAAGTAAACATTAATTTCCTCAATAACAATTTTCAAGACTCCAAGTCTCTAGATAATAATTGTAAGAATCTAATTTACGAGATGAGCTTGGATTACGAAAAGCCTTTTTTATTCCCAACAATGCACGAAGTCTCCACCAGCCTTAGCCACCGTTCGTGAGCGTGAATACCTAAATATACGTGTTATATGCTATTAGGGTTATAGTCGCGGTCAACGGAAGTGGGAGTGGCGGGCCAGTTCAGACAGGCGTGCTCATGCGGTGTGGAAGTGGGAGTGTCGACACACCGCATGAAACGGTGGTGGGTTGGTCCAGCCTCCGGGACATCTTCAAGCTCATGATGAGCCGTGATAAACACGATGGATATCGCATAACAACTGTGTACTTCCATGATTAGTTAAACTATGCGAAGTTTGAGGTCTGGTTGAGCTCTGTGGAACATGTGTTTACTCTGGCAGTGGCGCATGATTCAGTTAATTTCCACTGTTATAGGTCAAGATAACAAGAACAGATGCTCATCGCAAAGACTAATGGCGGTAGATTTCAGGCATGCGGTCTCATCGCAAGAATCATATCGGAAAATGGAAATTAATCAACGTGCTGGAAGCCCGAGCATTATACAGTACTAATGTGTGCGCTTGCTTTCCTCATGTACAGCTTCCACTGTAAAGGCCAAGCAACAGTTTCTCCCTCTCTTCGACTCTCGTTTCCGAAGCCTTCTCCCTCGCTTTAGGTGTCGCTTCTGCCTCCTCTGTTATAACCTCCGGCTTCTCCTCCTGCCTCTTCTTTTGTTGATGGCGAAAGGCGAGACGGTTCCTTTTGACTACTCTCGCCTGAGATTCGAGGATCCAGAAACAACTGACCCGGGTGCTGGTGCATCTTCGGATTTGGCAGGATCTAGTTTCTCCAAAACTCGACTTCCCTTTGAAGATGACACTATCTTGTCGGAAATGGCTTTCCAGCATTTGAAATTACTCGAAACTTGGACTGTGTTATACGCCTCTTCTCGTGTAACACACTTCCCTGCCAAATAAGAAAGCAAAGTTGTAACATTTCGAAGCCGACGATCACTCATAGTCGGAATTTATCTTCTTAAGCCGTTATTCGCTACCTATAGCATCATAATAGTGGAAGCCAGAGCTAGGATCATAGTGAAGTGCAGTGCTCTGGCTATGGAAATAACCCGAACTGCTGTCAAACCCTCATTCTTACGAGTTTAGATAGGTTAATGTCTTGGAGAGAGATCAATGTCTTGATTGGACAATATTAAGATCAGATGAAGGGCAAAGGGTGGATTGGAGATTCGTGTACAGCAAGAATCTGGCATCATCACATGCTCGAATTGCCTAGAGGGTTGGCATGAGAATGGAGATGCAACATTAACCAAAAGGACACGTAATAAACATTACCGGGTTGCCAAATCATGGAAAGCATGACCACTTGTGTCAAGATAGTGAATCTTCTCCACGAACAGACTCTGAAGAAGTTCAAGTGGACTAAAGATAGTCTGAGAGAAGGAATTCTTCATAAAAGATCAGAAATTGTTAAAGCGGACTCCTCTAAGACAAAGGTGCAATGGTCTTTGGGAACTCGAATAGATCGCTCCATCTATCTATGCCTCAATCAAACAACGAAAATTTACAAAATAACATAGGAAAGCATTTTTCATGCGAGGAGTACAGCTCCAGGAACCTATCGCATCTAATTTTTCATGCGTAGACAGAATCCCAACAAACATGGCGGCACAGGCTAGAGTCTCATTTGCATCGCGTCACCGCAGAGCAACACTTACGAGAAACTAAGAGTTAGCCCTTTACCGGATCAAAGTCAAAGTTTAATCTCCTGTTTGGTCGCGTGGCAGAGAAGTCTTACTTACAAACTAACGCTCAGTGCGTCAATTTGTTGAATGGCACGAGCCGCTTCCTTCTGCTCCTCCTCCTCGGCAGCCTTCTCCTCCCTCGCGTCATTGAGCCTCGTGCACAAATGCCCGGGCGTTCGATATGAAGATCTTTGCAGAACTCGCACCACACGACCCTGAATCACCCAATACTGAGGAATGAGTCAACAATTAAATGAACCCACAAGAGAAAAATACATGTTATGGAACGATCTTCCGCAAAATGAAATATTTTTTACTTGGCCAAATCGATCTCCAACGATAGAGATAAAAAGACTCGGTAACTAGCAATCAAATGCTGCATAAACTTAAAAGGGCAGCAAAAGAAACTCAAAGGACGTGGTCATGAGAATTCCATAATGCAAAAGAACATGGAAAGAAAATGGATTTCCGATATACGCATCTCCAAAAGCATTCGGGCAATGCATGATAACACAATCTACAGAAATTCAAATGGGTATCGCTTAAAAGAACTCGCTGAATCCAAAATGGGTGCATCAGTTTCCAACGAATTGTCACCCCAATAGCTACCTGGTGATGTCTCTATCTGTCACCTAATCGAACAGAGCCGGATTAACGGATCGTATGATGCGACGAAGCCATGACCCATCAGGCGATCTTCCCAGATGACAATCCAGACGAATCATAACTTCGACTCAACTTGACGATCGTTGTCGCCCAAAGAAGAACACATGAACGAACATACAAACAGAGGAGGGTTTCTCAAGATTACCTCGGCCATTGCCGGGATTGGGGAGCTTCTGAGCTTCCCGATGAATGCGAAATCTTTCAAAGAATTGCAAATCGCTTTTGACGAACTGGGGACGACACTACTGAATCCGAATTGAGCTCCGAGTTGAAGGTCCGATGAGCTCGCGGAACCCGTTCCGTTTTCTATCGGGCACGGGTCGGTCCAGAACCCGCTCCGATCGAGCCTGGGCTGGGTCTGGTGGGCCGGACTTTCTTCTACCAATCGTTTTAGCCCAAGCAAATCTCATCGTCTTCGGAATGAGAAACCAAAAGAAATAAAATACACTCATAACCTTTTTGCGTAACGTTCTTTATAGATGTTTTGAATCCCCAAGATCACCAAATTTTTCCGGTCGAATTATTGATTTTTATTGGATCGTCGGAACTTGCTAAACATCGGCGCGCTATTATTATTCATCACCGGCAATTTCTATGGCGTATAGTAAAAGGTACCCGATGCGTGCATCTGCCGATATTGGGGTCCTTGAAACACCTTAGACTAACAGTCCGCGTTAACGAATCGTCTTACGGAATGGATAATACCAACAAGCAATAATGTCATGGGCGTGACAGTCTTTTGCTTGGTCAATTTGTCTCTCCCGTGTTTGGAATTCTACTTCTTATGTACTTGGAATATGGAGGTATCGAGTGGTCCTAACGAAGGCGATGGAACGTGAATTAAGGAACAAGCAACGACTCCCAAGTGGTCGTGTGGGGATATGAAAGGGGAGTTTTGACGGATGTTCTTAGGTCCTTAAACAGATGGGAACATGGAGTTGTTGCGGCTGTTTCCGGGCTGTCTCCGCTCGTTCTAGATCAATCTTTGTTAGGAAGTAAAGCACATATGATATCATGTTAGAAAGTCAAACCCAAGAGCTTAAGTTAATAGGTGGAGGAAAATCACATAAATATATGAAACATTTAGGGCCTATTGTCGAACGATGTGGAACAATACTTCAACAATCTCATAGTATCGATTGAAGTCCACATTTTCCTTGCATGCATTGATGATTCTATGCACTTTGTATCTCTCATAGAGTGCACTGTTAATCTATATCACGATGCCTTCACCATATGAGCATCCATCACTACTGTACCTGCTCTGAGTCTCTCTTATGTCATTGATGTGTTCTTCGTTTCCGTGGAAGAACGTGATTGAAGTTTTGCCACCGGGAGGGAGATTGACCGGGTTTATAGTAGGCTGCTAAGAAAATTGGTCTTGTGTGAAGTAAGAACGACGAGTGGGTGACTAAACGCGCCCGTTATGTGCCTTCTCAATATATATGGTTCACGACCAAAATATATGAATATACGGTTAAGTTTCATGCCACGATTTAATTAAGGTCGTACCCAAAAAACATGCTTCAAGGGTAAGTGTTATGGAATTTAACTTTGAAATCACGCCCGACGCCATCTCGGCTCTGGTACCGTGAGGCAATTAGAGAGTCGATCTAAGGCTGCATTTGATTTAGCTTTCCCAAGGGAGCCCCCTAAGGAAAATTTGGAGTGTTTGGCAAGTTTTCTCAAGGGGCTTTAGATCAAATGCTAGCTTTGGAAAAGCTAAGAGTTCAAGGCTGCTTTGAGCTTAGAATTTTTGAAATGCTGAAACCCTCAATTAATGAAATTTGGTCAGTTTTCTCTTTAGCACTCAAAAGCTTATTAGAATTCCAAATTTGCCCCTCAAAAGCTTTCAATTTGGCTAGTTTCATTTCTTTTTCTTTTTTTTTTTTCGAAACCAATTTCCTTTCTTAAACTCCAAGAAATTAATACTTCTGTGTAACACGTGGGGGGTACTACGAAGAATTTTAATGCGTATTCTTTTGCAGCTTGCTGCGAAATACGTGAGCACAAGCCAAGAGCCCAAACATTTTGGGTAGGACAAACCGGGAGTGGGTGAAGACTTACGTGTCTTCATCCATTTCATTGTCCGGGAGGCCCATATGCAGATGCAAGTGGAGGACGACAGCGTTGTAAAGGAGGAAGACTCCACGTGAGCTTTCGATGACTTGAATCCCTCAACACCCCTGTCCCTCCTAATCAAACCCTCAATAATATCATCCCCCCAAAGTCTCTCCATTGTCAAACTCCTCGAGAAGGGATTGGTCCACCTGACAGATGAACCCCCCCGCAAGTGGAGGCGGATGAAGAATTAATGAGAAAAGAGTCGCTGGCTGGACCAAGAAAAGGACGCGAGAGAGAGAGAGAGAGAGAGAGAGAGAGAGAGAGAGAGAGAGGGAGAGAGACCTATCTCTATTCTGAAATGGACTGACATAGATAACAAGTTAAACGTACAAACAATCGATGAAATGGAACCAGGGAATATGTCCGCGTCTCTCTTTCTTTGTCGGTCACCCATCGCCGTTGGACGAGTTCAACACGGAACGCGATCGCAGCTTTCTGGTACGTGCGTTAAGCTTTGCATGTGTGCAGCTTTCGATCTACATAGAGGGTTTTGTTTGGTGCGTTTTTGTGTCCCTTACCAGGGAAGAACCACGTGCCATCGGAGCATGCAAACTTAGTCGCTCTTCTACCTCTTCAGGTCTTAAACTCAAAAGGGTCCCCAGCGGGAGGTCATAACCAGATGATGATAACCCTTTGGTATTGCAGATTAAATTCCTTACGAATTACGTTAGAGTCACGAGAAAGTAAAAAGTTACAGAAAAGAGAGAGAGAGAGAGAGAGAGAGAGAGAGAGAGAGAGGTCTTTCGAAGATGCTCTTAATGAGAAAAGGAGGACCTTCCATGGACGCCGACGCCGAATCTAAGTGCACAGTCGAACTCGGAGGTTGGTCCAGAGCCACGAAACCCCACTCCACTGACGGTGAATCTAAGAAAGGCCACATTAAGGACTCGAGTCGACGCTATGTCCGATCTTTGGCATGTTTAGGGCACACGTCAAGCCAAACTAAATTGACCTAATCTCGGAGGGAGACGCCAAACCCACAAAGAGAGAGAGAGAGAAGAGAGAGAGAGAGAGAGAGAGAGAGAGAATATAGAGCTATCTCTTTTGCGAACAAATATGGGGCTGATCCTATTTTGTCTTTTGCAGGTAGCTGACATTTTAGCTTAGGCTCAGTCAGAAGAAAAGAACGCAAATAAAGGGTAGCTGAGATTTTAGGGTGGATTCCTTTTCTGCTCAGAGGCGTCACACAGACAGAGAGAGAGAGAGAGAGAGAGAGAGAGAGGCTTAATGAGAACGAGCCTAACCTTCACGGAAAGCTTGCTTTTGTGGCGGCTTGGTGGGAGCAAAATTCAACTTGCATATCGACGGGCGTTTGTATTTACGCGTGTCTATGTATGTGTGTACATATATTATATATATGTGAATAATTGAATATACCTAACTGAGTAACTTTGTCTTTTATGCGTGCTCTATCATTACGGCACATAAGATCGGAACAATATCATTGGCATGCAAAGTTTCGCATGACATGTTTCCATCCGTTCGTTTTGATGAAGTAATTTTGAGATTTTTGTGAAACACGACAAATCATTTTAAAAATTTAAATTATTAGATGAATACGTGTTTTTTAGTGTTAAAAAGGTTTAACACTCCCCGTCAAGCGCGTATTGCAACTTGACCTGATATCGAAGATTGAAAGTACGTAATTAGGGGAGAAAATTAAGAGGTTGGAAATATTTGAATTTCGAGGCTTCAATTTGACACTAGTGAGAAATTTCATGAGACCATAGTCAATTGTTCAGAACGATTGAACTATTGAATGGAATTGTTTTAATATTTAGGATGATTAGTGACGTATATTTTAATGACTAAGATCACCTCATTGGATTATCCAAAACAAATTTCGGATGGGTCGATTGTGGATCTCATTGCAAAAGTCCTGTCCTGTGCTTTATGATCGTTGCTCGCCTGGAGGTGGAGTGACCATTGCCGCAACCCAGGCCATGTTGTGTTGGGCGGGGTTCACTCCCATGTGGAGGAAGCCCAATGAAATGCAAACTCAAAGGGTTGAGCTCATGTGATAATCCATACGGAGAAATTAATATAAGGCTATATTTGACTTAAATCAATAGGGTTTTCTCTCTATTAAAGTGGTAGCTGGAGAGAATCATTAATGTGAGGCAGTAGTAAGAGAGCGCAAAAAATCTAAAAAGAGGGTGCTGTCCGGTTTTCATCAAGCTGATGATTGGAGGTCGATTCGTGCTACCCTCATTAGGTTTATTGTGGGTTGAACCGAACTTGTGCTTTAGTGAGAATTGTCCTTGATCTCTTGTGAAGGTCACGTGTATTGCCAAGAATGGTGTTCTTGGTGTTGTTGCTACTATGTACCTCTCCTATTAGCTAGAAAAGAACTTTGTTCACTCAATTTTGCTAATAGTGAAGATTTTGAATGGACTCCAGCTCCGAGGTTTTTGATCTCCTCACACCGGGGAGGTTTTCCAAGTAAAATTGCCTTGTGTTTGTGGATACTTGGTGTTTATGTTGTTATTTATATTGTTTCCTATTATGTTTGCATAAGAGGGGAAGATTGTTTTGTTCTGTTGCGTCAATCCGATATTATTCGGGTTGTTATTGTTCTCCCAACATATTGCGCATCCTTGGAGACCATTGTCGCTACAGTTTCCTCAACTACAAATGAAGGGCGAGAAAATTGTCACAAAAAGTCGTAAACCAATTGCACTTTTGCAATCAATTCTAAACCTTAATTGTACCAATTGAATCCTAAACATTTTCATATTTTGCCAAGTGAGTCTATCTGGTCAATTTTAGTTGAAATCGCTGACGTAAATGCTAGTCATCCTACATGACACAGTCGGTGCTAACGTAGATAATATTTTAATATATTTTTTTCGAATTTTTATTAATTTTTTATTTTTCCCTTTATTTCCTTCTCTTCTCATTTCCTTCTTTACTTTTTTCCCTTTTTTAATTTTCTCTTCTTTTTTAATTTTTTCCTTTTTCATTAAAGAAAATAAAATAAAAAATAAAAAAATTTATTAAATTTTGATCACATTAGCGCCGGCCGTTCCATGTCAGACGGCCGGTGTCCACGTCAGCGATTTCCGGCCAAAATTAGCCAAATAGACTCAATTAACAAAACGTGAAAAGGTTTATGACTCAGTTGGCACAATTAAGGTTTATGACTGAATTGGTAAAAGTACAATAAATTTAGGATTTTTTTGGACTTATTTCTTACACGGCCTTACGTGCTTAACCATGTCGTTCCGGGCCATTTGACTGATGTGCCCCATATATCTTTTATATACTTGTTTGATTACGTTTATGATCATAGCTAGTATCTACCGACCGAAGAAGGCACCACGTCGCGTGCTATAAACGTCTAGACTTTCTCAGCTAGGTGGGGGGGCCCACCTCCGCCGCATTTGGAGCTTTATTCTATCTTTCTTTTCTCCGGGAGAGCCGCTTTCCTTTACTTGGCAAAGCCAGCCCCCCCCCTCCCTCCCCCCTTGATCTTCTTCGGTTGTCTTCGTACGAAGGGGGGAAAACGAGTTGCGTTTGTATGTTGCGTCTTTAATTGCGTGCGACTTGCGCACGACCTCAATTTAATGCGCTGGAGGTGAAGCTTCTCCTACCCTCCCTCCTCTATCAGCAACCGCCAACAAGCCTAATCTCCCATATATGGCAGACCTAACTTGGCTCTTTCAGCGACTGAGATAAGTCTTTGTTAGGACCCTATATCGTTCTAGGGTTTTTCTGCGGGGATATGACCCTCTATACAGTTTTACATAGATTCTAATCTTGATGGGGGTGCATATAGAGCCTAGAGGAGTTGGAGTAGCTCCAATATTAACACTACTTTAATCTTTGGAGGTCCTAGAATCTAATCTATGTTGAGGAATCTTTTTGGGAGGTGGGGATAGAGTTCGAGTTGAATCTAAAAGGGGAAAGAAAAGTTAAGGTAAAGTTACTACCATTGAAAAACCCTCGGCAGGATTTGGGATACTATGAACTGAAGAGTCGCTCGCATCGAATCATAAAGAAACGCATAGAGTGTATATGATTCCGTCGGTGTGATCTAATTAGTCGCGAGAATTAGTGAGAGACAAAAATGACTACGAACATGTAAATGTCTCTGAATTAAACAAGGCGTGGATTAGAGTTTCTCTCAGAATGAGTCGCGGTGCGCGCGTTGCCCTTCCTAGCATACGATCGAAATCATCTAATCAAAAGCAAATATAACTAAAATGAGACATAACTTCTCTCCAATTTAAAGAATATATATATAGTCAAATGATCGAGGAAAAGAAGAGTCTACATTCATATCTCGGATTCATGGTATATAGTTCTCTCGATCGTATGTACCGAACTGGCTGCGATAGTCGACCCGCAATTCGCTTCCGTCATAGATGCAACCTTTATGCTTATCATGAAAGAAGGCACTCTTTTTTCACTCATCAATCTCCATCCGCCAAATTTATAGTATTCCAATATACCGCAAGAATGGGCACTAGCTTTCCTTGACTAATTAAACTCACAAATGGATTGCCGTAAATCCTTCGCTTCCCCACTCTTCTCGGGGGCTCGAGAGAGCGATAAATGCCGACGAAAACGACAAAAGAGAAGAAAAATCAAACAAGAGAAGGTAAACAAAAGAAGAGAGTGCTGAAATCACCACCCATCCAAAATACGTACGTGAATCGAAGGAGGAGGGTAGCGTGCAAACTCATTGAAGCTGTGCTCCGGGGCCCTCGTTTTCGTCCATTGCATCACGAAGAGGACAAGAGAAAAATTTCGGGTATGCAGAAAGGTCAATGGTTTTTCCAGTAAATGACAAGATTGTTTCTGTCCATGGCAAAGCCCTGCAAGAAAAACCAATCCCAGATTTGGACAAAGGAGGTCGACGATTGATGCCGCTGCCCCCCCCACATTGAATACTCCCATTATCATCATGGTGGCCACTGTTTTTCCAAATCCATGGACAGAGACAGCAGAAATTTTCGTTTCTTATCTTGAAAAATTCGAGATTCATAGCTGGAAAAATGTTTGATTTTCATGACCGAGTAATCCGTAACCGAGGGCCTGCCTTTGATCCCTGGTGGTGATTTATCAAGGGAATCTCACCGGAACAGGGGAAGCCTAAGCTTCCGACTGGGCCGCCCCAGCATTACGTTTCTTATTTTGATATGCTGGTATCCGGAAAAAGTTTTTCTGCTCTTACTCCAGGGAATACTCCCGAATTTTACGTCCCAGGGTTCGGACGAAGCATTTCAGGGACATACTCCGGCCCGAAAAAAAGAAAATCGAGATTCATTATTGGAAAAATGCTCGATTAAATCCGCTTTAATTAGGATTAATCAAATTATAATTTTGGTGAAGATGGGCCAAGATCATTCTCGATGCCTTGTATTTTAATGGGGTCGGACAAGGACCCTCCAGCTGTCTCGGTGTCCAATGGGGAGTGCCCTGCCCTCATCCTCTTCCGTTGATCAGAAGGCCGTCTTCTTCTCTTTCTTTTTTTTCTTGAATCTTGACCCATTAAAACTGAGATTTTCTGTGCATTAAAAATATTGCGGTGGTTACGAGTCTGATGTATTAGGGTTTTTTTTTTGTTTATTGATTTTATTATCCGTCTCGATTATTTTTATGTCGATATCGGCAAGACGAAGGGTTGGGTGGGTGATTGGTATTTTTCAATCGTGTTTATTGGGAAAATATAGCTATGCACATTTAATACGGGGAGAATTAAAATATAGTATTTTTTCGGATTTTTCGGAGGGATCGAAAAATATATATTGTCGGGCTGCCGATACATGTAAATGCACGACTTCCCGATAAAAAAAAAATGAAATAGTATCTTTTAGTTCAACATGAAAAGAAAACGAGTATAAGTAATCCATCTGTTTTGATGGATAATCTGGTGGAAACTTTGTGGAAATACATTGAATTGGGTCCTGTTAACAAGCACCCGGGAGCACTGTTTAATACTATTACTATTAGTAAGAACACGTATCGACATATTTCGAAAATAAGAAGATATCGTACTTCGAAAAATGGCATTTTTCAAATAGAGATAGCACTTAATCACCATAAAATTAGTGCAGTAGGGGCACTCGATCTTTACCGTTTTCCTTTCATTGAATTTTCTCAACTCCTAGTAATAAGAAATAATACTCTATTACATTCTTTTTCCATAAAGAACCTCCTAATAAATCGAAATTTCGTGTAGTGATTAATGATTTTATAATTTTTTTCCAAAAATCGGAGCCCTCCACTATATATAATTTGATTATTATCTAGACATGGACGAAGCAAACTTGTTCAGTGAGAATGCATCATCATGCCCTCATAATATAAAATGAATTAAAGCTTAAATAGTGAAAATATCGACCTAACATTATGTAATCGTGATATCTAGATATCTTTTCTTTTTTTTAAATTTTTTTGGAGCTGGTCATACGCGAATTGATGACTCAACCGACAGTCATCAACAAGAAATTAGTGACTAAACATTAATCTAATCTTTTTAATGCCCGTGACCAAACATTAGATTAATGACTTGGATCATACTTGGTGACTTTTGTCAAAGCTAAGTAGAGAGACCGGTGAAACTTAAATGAGACTTGAGGTTTAGGGTCGTGATACTTTAGTAATGTACGCTATGGACTGCCTATTATTAAATATGTTGAGCAGTCCAAGTTCCAATATTTGAACATAAGCTTCGCTGTGGTCCTCATCATTTGGGATTTTACAAACTATATATGTCTGCGTATCGAACTTCTCTTTCTTCCGGTTCAAATGCTGGGGGTGAACTTCTCTACGTTAGGATGATGTAAGGCTGTTGCAAGTGGTATCCGATTTGACTACAGTTTGCCTCCTCAGAGTTGGTGCAGATTGATTAGCGCGTCGAGGGATTTTCAATTTAAAATATGAAAGCCGCTTATTCGAATCCTATCAGTTTTGTGCGCTAAGGTCATCTAGATTTAATGAGTTCATATAACTTGCGGAAGACCTTCTACTAGTCGAGAATAAGCTCAAAATTCGTCTCTTATATATGGGATTATGTAGGATCACGCAAACGCGCTTTTTTTTATAAAAAAAATTTAGCGAAACTTTTTAACTATGAGAATCGGTGAATTGTTGTCTTATATAAAGAAAAAAAAAGGTGATCATTTGAAATGTTTTCAAACATCGTATTTTGAATGGGAGAAAGTACCAAAGAAGTCCTATACTATTTCCATTGGCACTAATTTAGTTTTAAACATTTCAATTTAACCAATTTAATCATAAATATTTTCATATTGTTACCAATTGAGTCTATCTAGCCAATTTATGTTAGAAATTGCTGACGTGAACATCAACCATCCTATGTGACATGATTGTTGCTAACGTTGACATATTATTTGATTTCTAATTTTTTTTTGAAATTTTTTATTAAATTTTATTTTCTTTTTTTCTTCTCTTTTCCTTCTTTTCTCTTTTTTTTTTCTTTCGCTTTTCCCTTTTTCTTTTTTATTTATTTCCCTCTGCTAGTCGCCAGCCTCCGTGATGCTGGCCGTAGACGAGGGCAAGGGCCGGGACTTCTTTTTTGAGGTCATGGTTTATTATAGAAAAATAATGGAAGTTTTAGGAAGTGTATAAATGGTTAGGCATAACGGTAGACTGTTATTTAAGAGATTAGAAAAGACCATTCTATAAGTCTAGATGAATTGTTCCTCAAAATGGATGGCCATTGGATCACAAAAAATAAATCTAGTTATTTATTTAATAGATTTCATATGTTCATGCAGTCCACACTTAATACTTAGATCCGATAAATTTTGGCTCCCATTAACGAGTGTTCCCGTGCCACTTAATATTGAATGAGGAACAATTCGATCCTTCAAAACAAGTGATCACGCATAACGGTAGATCGTCAATGTATGGAAACCACAAAGTTTCCTTAGCTAGCTACACAATAGATGCTCCTAGGTTATTCGCTAACGAAATTCGTTTAATTCAATTCACGATAGGAAAATAGTTTCTAGAAGAACTATAAAAATGACGCCCTATTGAAAAGACCATTTCCATGCTTTCGGTTTAGGAGCCGAAAGTTGTGGATTCGATTCATACTCTGGAAAGCTCAAAATTAACCGGGGGTGATAGGGGTGTGAGTTGCTTTGATAATTTCCTCCATGTAGCCGACTAATTAAACACGTTCCATAAGTTATTATATAAAATGTAATAATAATAATAATAATAATAATAATAATAATAATAATATGATGCGGGAAAGGAGCTAATGTAATGAGGCGCACGACGGACTAGGATTTGGGAGGGGGGCCGACGTGGACAGAAGCGAAAAGTGACGTGGCGGTGGGGCTAAGCCTCTCAAGTCAGTGGGATTAGGTGTCTTCCCCACGTGGTCCCCACCACCCCCACCCTTTTGTTTTTGGTCCCCACCCCCACCCCGCCCTTCACTTCACGTGACATGACAACCTTCCTTTGGACCAGACAGAGCCGTGCCGTCAACTCCGTTGACCCAAGAATACGGCCCAGCCCCACGTGGACTCCCCTCGCCCCCCCCCACCCCGTTATCCTTAACGGCGTTCCCAACTAGAGCATCCAACCGTCAGTTCGTTTCCTGACATGACTTTAGGGAACACCGTCGCATTTTCAACCGGTCGATCAAATTGGATCATCGACGTCGGCCCCTACTTATACTGATCAATAAAAGTAAATAAAAACTATACGGGGGTATCAAATATCAATGGATTGCCCCCAAAAAAAAAACATTTACGAGAATATAATATAATTTGCACTTTCATTGGCCGAAGGCCGGAAAATAAATTTCGGGAACAATATCCAAGAATTTGCAATTTTCTTTTGATATCTGTATTCGAGACAAATAAAGATTTCATCTTCATTTTTTTCACGTAGTAATATGATATATCGGGATGGAACGTAGAAATTCGATTTGCTGATTAGCATTTTAATGATTAAAATTGGTACGCTGTCAAGTGTTAAAGTAGGTTTCGAGCTTAATTCCAAGCCGAAAAACGCGCGCGCTAGAGGCTCGTGCGGAGTCGTGTATGCAAACGATACGATATCATAATTTCTCCCGGTTGATCCTCGCGGGGCCGCGCGCGCCTCTCCTCCCCGGCTCCGGAGGGCGCCACGTGGACGCTCGGATGATCGGCGACGTCATCCCGTGCCAGCGACAAAAGCGGCTGGTCGTCGTCTCTCTTTCTCTTACCCCCCCCGCTCCATCTCCGGGCCTTTTATTATCGCTTGGACCCCCAGACCAGAAGCGACTTTGCCAGCGACATCTCCTTTCGTTCCTTTTGAAAAAGCTTTTTGCACAACCACCCTCTCTCTCTCCCCTTCTCTCTCTCTCGCCCCCAAGTCCTTGATTTTTTCTGCGGTCATGGATAGGCAACGCCGTGAGCTGACGTTCTTGCACTCCCGCGACTTCCTCCAGCAGAGCCCCGCCCCGCCCCCCGACCGAGCCGCAGCCGCCGACGAGAGCTCCTACGGTGCCGGCGACACCAAGCCTCCCATCAGAGTGGTCGATTTCTTCTCACCGGAGAATTGCTCCAGGTTCGGCGGCGACGAGGAGGAAGAGAGCATGAGGTGCAATGGACGATCGAGATCGACCCTATCCGATCCCGGCGTAAGCCTAATGTTGGTGTTGTTTTTTTATATGGATCGCTCACGGTTCGTTGACATACAGTTTTGATGACAGACTGGACTGAACCTGCTCTCTTTGAATTCCGGGACGACGGCCGCTTTAGAAGACGATCATAGTAACAAGGATGCTGAGGTGAGTTTTTTCGTGATGTTTTTCGATCGCGGGTCGCCGGGATTCCTCAATCTCGATTCTCGAAGTTCCCGAGAGCGCTAAGAAAGGTTGAGCTTTTGATTGGTTTGTGATCAGATGAGGATGCTCCGGGTGGAGCTGGAGAGACTGCACGAGGAGAACCACAAGCTGAGAAGCATGTTGGATCAGATCTCCAAGAACTATGGTAATCTCCACGCTCAGCTCTTGATGGCCATGCAGAAACAGGCCCATCTTAATCTGCGCGAGCAGCAGGTACTATAACCAGGTTTCGAATCGAATCGTTCGTCTGTCGATTTCTTTTATCTCGATAAGATCTGACGGAGACTGCAGTTACACATAGCTCGCATCGCTGTTCGTCGATTGGTAGACCATACGGGCAAAGTTAATCCAATCTCTTCCTGAATGTCAAATATAATAATGAGCAACCCGTGCATGACCTCGCTTTAAACTGGAAAGTGTATTCTCGATCCGTTATCGCCTTTTTCTCCGATATCTTACTCAAAACCGAGAGTTTTGCGGTTTCAATCCCCGTTGTTAAACGAGTTATAGAACTGGACCACCTAGGGATTGGAAAGTTTTCCTTACTCAATGTTCTGAGAATCTGTTCCACCCATTATTTTTTCTTTATTTTCCTTTCTCATGTATTTGAGTTTTCTTCCTTTTCTTCCCCCTTATGCAAGTTCTCATCTCATCAAGATCTTAAGTTCATCAGGGAAGCTGTACATGGTTATAAAGAAAATCAACAAAACTGAAACCAGATGTATCTTCAATGCATGACCTTTTCTTTTTGAGCTATGTAAAGCTCCCTCTCTCTCTCTCTCTCTCTCTCTCTCTCTAGACTCAACTGAACTTGCTTACCTTTTCCTTTTTATTCTCTCTCGCTCTTTCTTTTTTCTGCACTGACGATTGACTTGTTGACTAACGGGGCTCTTAATTTGCCAGAGGGACGAGATGACCAGCATGTCAAGCCCCACAAAGTCAGCGCAACAGCTCATGGACCTTCGGCCAACATGTGCGGCCATAGACGACGCGAATGATGAAGAGAAGACCCGCGAAGTGTCAGTCTCTCCAACCACTACCATGGAGGTCATGTCCAAGGAAAGCGACCACATTCACACTCCTCCACTCAATAGCACCAATAATAATAATAATCACAGCATCGAGGACGGCTACCGGACCTCGCAGAGCTGGGGCTCCCCCAAGAGCCCGAGGCTCGAGCCCCCGAAAGGCGGGGACGAGCCAATGGCCGACGCGCCCTTCAGGAAGGCGCGAGTGTCGGTGAGAGCAAGATCGGAAGCGCCATCGGTAAATAATCCAAGAAAAGGCGGATTTATATGACTATACGTTGATTTGGGATGTAAAATCAAGCTGATGGGTGATTTCTGTTGTTAATTCTCTATTGATTATATTTCAGATTAGCGATGGATGTCAATGGAGGAAGTATGGTCAAAAGATGGCCAAGGGAAATCCTTGTCCACGGGCCTACTATCGTTGTACGATGGCCGTTGGATGTCCAGTTCGCAAGCAGGTAAACGACTTTAATTAAGAAATGGTGACTCCTTTTCTGGAACCATGAGGGAGTGACTTTGCTTTCGCTAGGCCAAGTTGGCGGGTCGAGTCATGCATTCCTTTAGTCGGAGATCGCACTCTATCGCCAAGGATACCCGTCGATTCTTTTTCTCACGCTCATGTTGATCAATATCAGTCGTAGGAAACCACATGTACTTTGTTTTATCTTCTTGGTGATTTTTGGAATTGGTTGGTATTCGGAATTTTGCATCTCCTCTCCTAATTTCTCGAATTTGTGATTACTGTTGATGATGTCAAAGACACGAAACCATTCGTTCACTGAGGAATGTGAACATTATAAACATGACCTTTTGAGATTCTTCTGCTAAAACTTCTTTCTTTTAGCTAAGCTTCTCTACCATAATCTCACGTAAATAAATCCATGCATTTCCATTGTCGTGTAATTTTGGGTAATTCAAGTGGAAATGATAATAAGAGTTCTTCATTTATAACCAGAGCGAACTTCTAATGGACCCATCAAACCACCATTGCATGTTAGTTAAATTCGTTATTGGATTAAGAGATGATTATACTTTTTTTTTCTGGGAAGTGTAAACTTGGCCTTCTTGTCCAACACAGGTGCAAAGATGTGCGGACGACAAGACCATACTCATCACCACCTACGAAGGCAACCACAACCACCCGCTTCCTCCGGCGGCCACTGCCATGGCCAACACGACATCTGCCGCTGCCGCCATGCTACTATCCGGCTCCACCACCAGCAAGGAAACCCTAGGCTCCACCAACCCTGGCTACTTCCCCTCGCTCCCTTACCCCTCCACCATGGCCACTCTATCCGCCTCTGCGCCGTTCCCCACCATCACCCTCGACTTGACCCAAAACCATAACCCCATGCAACTCTTCCCCCGCGCACTGCCTCCAGCCTCGACCACATTCCCTCTTCCCTTGCATGGCCTTACAGCTCAGATGATGGGGCAAGTGCAACACTCCATGAAATTACCATCGATGCCTTTGGTGCAACTAGGACTAGGGCAAAGGCATGCGTCCTTGGTGGAGAGCGTCAGTGCTGCCATTGCCTCCAACCCCAACTTTACTGCCGCACTGGCAGCCGCTCTTTCAACAGTGATGGGCGGCGTGCCACCGCAGAATGGCCCAGATGGCAATATCAATGCTAATAACAACAATAGTGGGAATAATCACTTCCTTCCTGCTGGGGTTGGTGTGCTTCCTGGGTCCCCACAGCTTCCTCAATCCTGCACCACTTTCTCCACCAACTGAGCTTATTTTTCGCAGACTCGCTCTATATGCCTAACAGGAAAAGATGCTACTAGGTCGGGGAACAAAACGGAATAATTACTGTCGAGAAAATTATACACCTATATGGAAGGATATGAAAGGCTGATGGAGATCAGGGAAGTGCACTCACATCTCCCTTTTCAGAGATGAAGGTCATAGAGACTCAGTTTGTTGATCATGTTTGGATGCTGCAACCGGTGCTTTGATGGATGATTTTGGGTTAGAGATTAGTCAGCTTCTAACATCTTGGAGACATGCACGTGTTGCGCGTTCTAAGCCCATTTGCCCTTAGTTGGCATTTTCTTTCCTCTTAATCCATCGGCCTTTTCTTGTCTTGTAATTCTTGGTGATGATCTTTCTTTTTCTTTTTACCTTTTTCCTGCTGAAGGTATGTTTTTCTTCTGTACAATGGCTTCATATATGGGGGGTTTTGCAACTTTTAAAAGCTTAGAAGTGGGGTATAATTTAAGGTAGAAATTTTAGGAAGGACAAGTACATGTAGAGAAACATATATATACCTGGTCTTGTACATAAAGTAATAAAGATCAGAGCCTCACATGGTTAAAAACAGATAGAAAGCTTCTTATCTTTCAAATAATATTTCTTCAGCCTCGGCCTTACTTGATCTCGTCTCTTTGCATTTTCATTCCACTTGTCGTAAGTTTATGTTTTAGAATAGAAAATGTCCTCTACTTATATTATTTCTTTAGTGCACCTTTACCCTATACATGATTTCTACTTACGGGAATCGCTGGCTTGTACTTGTGATAATTTAGTAGGAAGGATGCCACTCTTCATATCTGAAGAATTTAGAATAAGTCTAGAGCGTGTCAGCCGCGTAGAAAATATGCGAGGCAGTTGTCTTGCGTGTGGGTTATGTCTGAAGTAAGTCCTTTCATTTTCTTTAGAATATAAAATGCGAGGTATGCTATAATTAAATTACAATTCGGGTATAATATTAACTGAAATGATCAAGAAAATCACAAGTGGATGTCTAAAACTTGTTCAATACCTCATAAGAATCGGTCAGTATATCACGTAGCCTATGGTCAAGCATCATGTCTGTACTTGGATTATAGGGTGAGTTGCATTTTAATTAAGAAACAGAACTTTGGGCATATATATGCTGTGTACGAAGGATTCTCTCAGCATCTATCCCAATGTTGCATTACGGTTTGTTTAATTAGTATTTGCCAGTGTCTGGTTTCGCTTGCTCACCAAGTTATAGCAAGGATAGATAGTCAGCTAACAAATTGCAAAGCAATTGAGGAGCAGCCACAACAATCACAATATAACTGATGAATTGAAAGGTTTAAGACTAGTATTCTTTTCGACATTTATTCTTACAGCTATATAGCCTCTCGACTATATATATGCAATATCATCGTTCAATTTCACACATCTGAGTTGTTTTTTCCTCAATATTGCATACTAGACCATGGAATGCTGTAGCTGTAAATCTCCAAGTGGCTTGGGGTTAGGGAAATAAGCGACACCAATGTTATAGATATAGCATTAGGTTCAGGCAGAGAACATTAACAAAAATTAGGGTTTTATGAACCCTACTTCATCACGTACCAAACTCCCTCGCCCTTGTTCCAGCAGCTAAATATATACAACGCCATATTTCAATTTGAACATAGTCTCAGCTCCCCAGCTAGAGCCACTAGATAAAAGAGTTACATATAACAACGCTTAGAAAATTAACTCCTAGGATTCGGAAGTGGTATCATTACAGCTTTATGGCCCATCTGACATATTTCATGGACTCGTGCTTAGGAGAACTCTAAATTCTGGTTTACAAAATTTATTACGCAGAAAGTACCGTGGCGAATTTCAAATGGATCTTCGGTGCACATTCTATCCCTTTCTCAAGCAATTAATCAGAGAGCATTGCATCACTTCTTGTGAAAGGGCTTTTGAACACCCTCTTTGTACTCTGCACAGTGTGCACACCTAATATTGAGAGATCTAGAGTTCAAGCTGTTCGAGAAACGATTTACACATTCATTGGGAAGGGCGAGTTGGACAAGCAAAGATTCTAATTCGGGAATACTAGGAAAAGAAAGCAACCCCTCCTTCACCATGAAGATTGCTGATCGGTACACTTCCACATCGACTCATAAAGTCGTCCAAGTTCAATGAACCTTCCACCAATTGCATAATTCAGCCAGAAACACTAGCTTGGTTCACTTACTAAGAAGATATGACTCCTCTGCAACTCGCAGAATCTCGAGAAAATCCATGTAAAAAACTTGGGAGAAAACCATAATAAAAAGTTAGAAAATATGGCATGGTGAGGAGGCTGAATCGGAGATAGCGGCGTGTTCTAGTTTGGTTCCACCTCGAGTTCCTCTACTTCCCTTCTGTAAGTAAAACTTGCTGCGAAACAAAAGTACTCGATAGATTCATTGCAGAAATCCGTCCTACAGCCGGTGAGTTTGAATATGCAGTCCAATCATGCTATCTTTCTTTCCCTGCAAGACCATAATGTAGTGTTGCATTTCTCGTTTTGTGGATAAGGAGTGTATGCAGATTTTTCAGTTCACTTCTTGCTGTAGGGTTTGGAGGAACTCTCGGTGCAGCCAAACATCTGTAGAACATGGAGACTGTTTCTAGATGGATGATGTAATCAATTTTCACGGACGAAGAACACTAGAAGTGCCAAAACTTGTGTACGGCGCTCACTTTAGTGCCAAAAGTTTTCGCTAGCTCACTTAAGTGCCAAATCAGAGGAAAAATGATCACTTAAGTACCAACGCGCGAGAAATTCCGATCAAATTAATATGTGGTTTTTATAATTAAAATTTTAATATAAGTTGGATTTTTTTAAAAAAAAAATCAGTTTACGTGACAATTCCATGTGTGTATTTAGATTTTTAAAATATTTTTTCTGATTTTTTTCCTTATTTACTTTTTTCCTTTTCTTTCTTCTTCTTCTACCTTTGGCCGGTGACCGGTGTTTGTTCACCGACCATGGCCGGCCGCCTGGCCTCGCCCGGACAAGGCCGCCGTCACCCGCCACAGGCGAGGCTCGGCTGACCCTCGCCTGAACGAGGGCAGGCGAGCCCCGGCGAGGGTTGGCCGATCACCGGCCACAGGTAGAAGAAGAAGAAAGAAAAGAAAAGAAGGAAAAAAAGAAAAAAAATTTAAAAAATCAAAAAAATATTAAAATATTATAAAAATTGTCCCCGTCAGCGCCAACGTGCCACGTAAGACTGAGAAATTAATAAAATATGGCCACGTCAGATTTCCGACGACCCAAATTGGAGTTGGCACTTAAGTGATCATTTTATTAAAAATGTAAGTGATCCGAAAAAACTTTTGACACTAAAGTGAGCGCCGTACACAAGTTTTGACATTTCTAGTGTTGTTCCCCTCAATTTTCACAAACATTAGACAGAAGAAAAACATTACTTTGCAAATCTTGGTGATAATCAAACAAGTGATAATCAGGAATCGGGATCATATCATCAAAATAACAATACTTATGGTTGGTTGGTAATTCATCAAGTAACACTAACATCAAGAGATGTGCAGCTTTTCGTACCTTTAATTGCAGCTCACAGGGAGAAGGGTCCGCCATGATTTTCGATTTTGTAGCCATCGGTGGGTGAAGTCGCCGACCGATAAACTTCGATACGTGGGATTAACAATTCTTATTAGTGAATTGTTAACTTACATTTCAATTTATCGTCTAAACATGACTTGCATTTAAATTTTATCACTAGGCTTTTAACAGTTATAAGTATCATCCATATCAAGTCATTGTAAAATTTGGTAATGTTACGAAGATACATTCAACTTTTGTTCATTGTCTAGTGAATCAGTATATTGTCAACTTAACTGCAATTTTTCGTTTACTAACTTCCATTTGAATTTTCCCATTGGCCTTCAGTAACTATTCAAATATATGCAAAATTACCGACCTACATTTGAATTTTACCAACAACTATAGTCGATCAGCAAGTCATCAACTTACATTCGATATTTACCGGTGGCTTTCAAAGCTTACTAATATTATTGATATCAAACGACTTCAATACTTTTTACAAGATTACCGACTTTATTTCTAATAGACCAATTTATGGTTGGTTAGCAACTCCCCAACTTTCATTTCAATGTTATCCTTTGGTATCAAAGTTCACCATCATTATTGTCGTCAAAATGTTAACATATTTCAGATTGTTATCAAATTACCTGTGAATTTACCAATGTTGATGTTGCGATACTAACCAACGCGGAAGCTAAACCCGAGATCTTGCAATTTATGTCAACGCGAATATAATCAGAGAAATAACGATGAGCGATAAAGGACACGGGATATTTACGTTCGGTCCGACGTATCGGAATCTATATCCACGGGGAGAGTCATCACTATATAATCCATTATAATCGGAGAATCCAAGTTTACAACAAACGCTCACAACACTCGAGTGTTTCCCGTACCTAGAGTAAACCCAAACCCCAAGTGTTTAGTAATAAACAACTCAAATTGATGTATAACTTATAGCACAATTTTCGGAGGTTCAAGACCAAGCAAGAGCTCACATCCAGCTAGAAATAAGAAAGTCTTCCCATTCTTTCTTCTTCTTCTTCTTGCGGCCACTCATGCTCTATGCCGAAGAAATCCACAAATTTTCTTCACTGTGCGGCTCCTATTCAAGAAGGAAGGAGGCGGCTAGTGTGTTTTCTCCTTGGGAACCGACACCCTAATTGCCCTTCTTCTTTTATTTTCTTTTCTTTTATAGGGTCGACAATTTTACTTATTTTGACATAAACCTACCACATGGGCTATTAAATATAGTATAGAATATGTGTGCCCATTACTTTTGTCTTGTAGTGCATGAGAGCTTTTCCTTTCCTTTTCTTCTCTCTTACGTCCAACCTTAAGCAAAGGTGAGTCTAACTCTTGATTTTCATTTTTGCTGTCAAACTTGGATATTCATCCAATCGGGTCAGGTTCCGTAAATGGCTCAAACTCGAGACATAATTCAATAATTCTCTACCTTGACTTGACGTTTGAAGTCAAGTCACAGTGTTTGTCATCCATACCGCTCTCCCAACACCCCGATGGGCGCTCATCCATCACAGACGTCTATTAAGCCCAAGCAAAGCTACAACTTGACTAGAGGAATGAAGTCGGTCCACATGTCCGTAGGATTCACCACCGTAAGAACCTTGTTCACGGTCACTTCCTCTCCTGACATGCTACATCTGACGCAGAAATTTCGATCACCAATGAACTCGATACTCTAGTGATATTTCTGACTTCTATCGAACACCACATCAACCGGATGTCCCACGCCAACATCACTAACCAAGTCATTAGACCACACCGCTTCTTTAGCTCTTATGGTAGTCACCATGTCTCTCAACCACATCTTCCAAAACACAATACCACTAATAGAAGTAGAGGCATAACTACTCAGTAATCAACTATCTTTCAGGCTCCCTACATGACCTGGGTTCACAAACCCAGTTACTGCCACACTACCTGAAGTATATCCTCTGTAACATACCTCAACGTCTGTCATCCCCAACAAAATCAGGAGGATCCACTTCACAACATCACAATGTATACCTGGATTAATCATATATATTTTCCTAACTGTATGTGATGGATCAAGCCTAGTACTGTCCACGAGATAACTCAAGCAACCAGAAGTACGAGCATATAAAGCACGGGACAATTGCTCCACCTCCATCCAAGTACACGGTGACAGTCTAGACAATTTATGATGTGTAGTAAGTAGGGTACTTACAGAATTTCTCAACTGCATGTTGAACCGCTTTAACGCTTTCCCAACGTAACTCCTCCGAGTCACTTGCAACATTCCAACAGCCTCTGTCTGCATCTCCATACCCGAAACTATTTCTACTGCATCCAAATTATCTATTTCAATATCTGCATATAATTGTCGCTCTATCTCATCCACTTCCACTGACCACCTCGAAGCTTCATCAACTCTGACCTCGGAACAACTGTCAACTGTTATGGAATCTAGCGACTCTGCACAAGTTGTCGCATCTACCGTACTCTGAACATCTCTAGGCTCTCCCTAAAGCTCCACATGTTTCTGAATACGGTCCAGATCTTTCTTTCCAATTGATCCCTCACTCATCTTCTGAAACAGAGCAGATTCGTCAAAGGTAATATCTCTACTGAACATAAAATCGAGTGTTTCTTCCTCAGCGCACCACAGCCCGTATCCCTTCACCCCATGTGCATAGCCTATGAATATGCACCTCCTTGCCCTCGGCTCTGACGCGCCATCACTCACACGAGCATAAGTAGGACAACCGAACACTCTCAGTCCAGTGTAATTTGCAAACTTACTTGACCACGTTTCTTCATGAGTTTTCCAATCAATTGTTGGTGATGGTAATCTATTCACTAACCAACAAGCGGTATTCACGGCTTCGGCCCAAAAATCTTCATCTAATCTAGCATTGGAGAGTAAAAAGCGAGCTCTCTCCAATATACTTCCGTTCATCAATTATGCAACTCTGTTTAGCTGTGGTGAATCGGCAACAGTGCGGTGTCTCGCTATGCCTTTTTCTATACAAAACTAGCCAAGCTCATCAGAACAGAATTCAAATCCTTTATCATTCTCTGGCACATGATCTTTCTTCCTATCTACTTTTCGATCATCGCCTTCCACAACTTGAACCGACCAAGCACCTCACTCCTATGTTTAAGAAAACAAATCCACACTTTCCTTGAAACGTCATCGACAAAAGACAACACATACCTGGGACCACCCTTGGACGGAACTTGAGAAGGTCCCCATAAGTCTGAGTGTATGTAATCTACAATCTTCGAGGTATGCTGAACCGCCGCACTGAGCTTTACTCTCTGCTGGCTACCCATGTCGCAGTGATCACAGAAATTCAGCTTTTCAATTCGATGACCTCCCAATAGACCCCTCTGACTTATAACAATTATCTCCCTCTCACTCATGTGTCCAAGTCTTATATGCCATAACCGTGATGTGTCCTCACCCGAAACCTCAGAGAATCGAGTAGACGAGCCAATCACTGTCTTTCCTTGAAGGAGATACAACCTGCAATCTATATTCCCTCACATCACCGTAAGCACACCTCGAGAGATCTTTAAAATTCCACCTTCAGCGGAAATCCAGTATCCAAACTTGTCAAGAGAACTCAACGAGATAAGGTTCTTTTTCAGCTCTGGTACATGCCTTACACCTATCAACGTTTGCACCACCCCATAATGCATCTTAATCTGAACTGTTTCGATCCCTACCACTTCACAAGCAGCACCATTTCCCATAAGTACCTTATTGCCCTCCATGCACTGATAGGTAATAAACCAGTGTCTATGAGAAGTCACATGATAAGAACATCTAGAGTCAAGCACCCAATCATCACCTGATAAACTCGTGGTGACTGCTAACACGTCATCGACATCGATAGAATAATTATCTGCTACGGTAACAATATTACCATCGCCTGCAAACTCCACCTTAACTCCTTTACCCTTGTATTTCGAACACTCTCTCATGTAGTGCCCTATCTCGTCACAGTGATAACATTGACGATTCCGAACATTAGACCTCGATTTAGAACGGCTCTTCCATCTATTACCTCTAAACTCTCTTCGTCCGTCTCTGCCCCGGATAACTAAACCTTGCGCCGTATTTTGCGCTAAGTCATCTTGTCGCAACTTCGTTTGCCACTCCTTAGAAAACAATGCGAACTTTACCTCTTCTAAGGTAATCGTTGTATGCCCCTTTAGCAATGAATCTATAAAGTGCTCAAAAGAATCCGGTAGAGATGCCAACAATATCATATCTTGTTTCTCATCAAGCAAGGCCTCATCGACGTTCTTGAAGTCCATCGTTAGTTTGTTAAACTCATCTAAGTAGGCTCTAATGGATGTGCCTTCAACCATCCAAAACTGAAATATCATTTTCAGCATATATAAGCGATTGTTCAAACCTTTCATCAATTAAAGTGCCTTAAGTTTTGCCCACGATACTGCGGCATCCTTCTCTTCGGCCACTTCAATCAATACCTCATCCGACAAATTTAATAGGATTATACTCCTCGCCTTCCTCATTAGCACATCCTTTTTGGCATCTTTCATTGATTTGGGCAACTTATCATTGCCCTCCAATGCTTCGGCTAAACCTTGAGTTATTAATAGAGCCTCCATCTTAATGCTCCATAACCTAAAATTGTTCCTCTCGTTAAACTTCTCAATTTCAATTTTTGCCCCAGACATAATTGCAACAACAAAATTTCCAAATAATAATCACACAAACAAAAGCCCCAAATCACAATCCAGAAAATCCAATCCTCAAGCTCTTATACCAATTGTTCTCTCCTTGGGAACCAACGCCCTAATTGCCCTTCTTTTTAAGGGCAACAATTTTACTTATTTTGACCTAGACCCACCACATGGACTATTATATATATTATAGAATATGTGTGCCCATTACTTTTGTCTTGTAGTGCACGAGATCTTTCCCTTTATTTTTCTTCTCTCTCACGTCCAACCTTAAGCAAAGGTCAGTCCAACTCTTGATTTTCATCTTTCCTGTCAAACTTGGATATTCATTCAATCGGGTTGGGTTCTGTAAACAGCTCAAACTCGAGACATAATTCAACAGGTGAGATGATTAGCAAATTAGTGTTAGTTTTAAGTGTGAGACGATAAATGCATAACGGTAAACTATACACTGAATTTCACAATGAATTCCTTGAATTGCATAGATTTCTTTGCGTGACCGAGTGCCCTTTTGGGTATGACTTTTAACAAGTCACTCTCATCGTAATAAAAAAATGTATTGGTAACGAGTGTCCTGGTATACTTGTTAAGTATATTTTGTCCAAAATTATTTAATTTTCAAGTCGCTGATTATGCATTAATTACACTAGGGCAAGCAATGCATTTAATTTGTAAAATTTTGTTGATTGGTTGTTTAATAAGTGCCCCTGCGGCACTTTTTAACAAAGTCCATAGCAAATAACATTTTAATATTTAAGAAATTGTGAAATGGTTCACCGAAATTTTAATGATTTTGAAAGTCAACATATACTTTAGGCGATAATGTTGGAAATAAACTTGACTATTAAACGGAAAAATCAAAGTCAAAGCGCAATTTATATATCAATGTCTTGCTATACACGCTTCGCAGTTTGAATTCTCTTAAAAGATCTCTTGCTTTTTTCTCAAATTTTGGAGAAGAAGATATTTTGACTTTTAAAACTTCACGAAAGAATTATATTGGAATCTGCACGTCAATATTCGTAAACTTCAAAACATTTTTACATATTTTGCATTGAATAAAACGGGTAGGCGCGAGTCGTAAGATTCCCAAAAAACTCGAAACAAAAAAATACCTTCATACGTTGGAGGTAGAACTCCTTTCTTGTTAGAGAGGGAGAGAGAGAGAGAGAGATAGACTTTATCATGGGCCCAGCGAGCGACCCGCAAGCCCGACCCGGTCCACATGGGCCCATGAGCACTTTCCGATGGGCCCGGAAAATGGCCCAATGGGCCGATCTAGACCTAGGTCGCCCGGGCCGGGCATGCAGATTTCGTTTAGACTTTTTACAAGTCGCGCAGTACAAATCTTTCGGTCAACTCCACGTAAAGACAAAAATTTGCCCGGCCCACTCCGATCACGAGCTCACAGCCGTCCGATCCCCCCCCCCCCCCCCCCCCACAAGGAGAGCAGATCGTCGTCAGGGCGCGTTCAAAATTTGAAGATAAAATCTATCGTCTTCCTTCCGTCAAGTCGTACTCGACCGTTGCGAAGTGTTTCCTTTTCTTCTTATTTTGCTCTTTTCATTTCGAGCTCCCCGAGTCCGCGAGCAAGCCTTTGGAAGCTCCGGGAAGAGAGAACCGCCTCCGCACCGATGGAATCTCTCGCTCGCTGTTAGCCGCCGCCGCCGCAGTTCCGGAGGCCGAGGATCGGAGCGGATCGTTCGACGCCGCGCACCTCCGACCGCGCAGGGCAGGGCAAGGCAGGGCCGTCGCGACGAGGATGGCGGCGGCGGCGGCGGCGGCGACCAGACGCCACGGCTGGCAGCGTCCTCTCCATCCGCTGCAGGTAAACGCGCGCTCCTCGAGCATTTTCCCTGCGGTCTCTCGCTTCGCTTTCGCCTTCGGCCCCGGTCGGGTCGCGTTGCTCCGGCGCGCGAGCTCATCGCCGGTTTGTTTCGTAGTGAGTAGCTACCGCTGTTTGTCGGGATTTGGTGAAATCCGTCGAGTTGCTTGGGTTTGACCGAGGTCACGAGCTTAGGTTTGCTGTTTTGAGGCTGAGGCTGGCAGCACGTACTGTTTAGTCGATTCCTGCATCGGCGTTGTCGTGAAAGCTCCAAATCGGCGGCGACGAGCTTATCGCCGGTTGTTTCGTAGTAAGTAGCTAGCTAGCGCGGTAGTTTGGCAATTGGTAGGCGGTGGGAGCTGAAAGTCGCGCCGGCTGTGAACGTTTGTCGAGATTTGGTGAAATCCGTGGAGTTGCTTGAGTTTGACCGAGGTCGCGAGCTTAGGTTTGCTGTTTTTGAGCTGAGGCTAGCAGCGCGCTGTTTAGTCGGTTCCTGCATCGGCGTTATTGCGAAAGCTCCAAATCGGCGGCGACGAGTGGAAGCGGAGGGCATGGATGCGGATAATCGATCACGTTTGAAGTTTAGAATCGATCAGTCTCTTGACGTGAATTTTTGCAATTTGCAGATAGTTGGGATGGCGGTGTTCAGTTTCCTGGTTGTGGACTTCTACGTCTTCCTGGGACTGTTGCTTGGGAGCAGAGCTGCTGAAATCACCGTGACAACAATATTCTCGTTTGTGGTAAACTACTCCTTATCGTGTACTTGTGCCGAGACATTGATTGCTTTTTTCTTTCTGTCAGTTTTCTGGGAGTTTGATGGGGGGTTTCCCCGATTTTTCAGGTTTTCTCGGCGATGTTTCTGTTCATCTGGTGTACTGCGATTGATCCGACAGATAAAACCGGTTATAGAAAGAAGAAAAGAGGCAAATCTAAGGGCTTGCTTAAGCTAAATTATGGTTTTGTTTTGGCTCAGATCGTTACTAGATTTTTTAGGAGGTTGGAGAGGAAGATTCTGCGGAAAATCATTAGAAGAAAGTACCTGGACCCGATGAACACTAGCGCGCACTTAGAGCCCCTGCTTCCATTTCCCCTGGTGATGAAGGATGATGCCATTGCACCAGATCTTAAAGCAGATGACATTACTTTCTGTAGCCTTTGTAACCTTGAGGTTGGTCACTTTCCGAAGTTTAGATATGACTGCAATGGTAGCCCATGGATAATGCCTGCGTAGCCTTCCACCTGCATAATTGGGTTTCGTCTTGATCTTCAAATTGACATGGAGAACTCTCCAAACCATTTGCAGGTAAAGAAGCACAGCAAGCACTGCAGGAGTTGCAACAGGTGTGTAGAAGGGTTTGATCATCATTGCAGGGTGAGAATTGCTGTTACCTGTCTAATTGTTATGGGAATGACCTGCATTTACTGACATGAATGATTTGGGTTCTTTATTCCAGTGGTTGAACAATTGCATCGGGAAAAAGAACTACACGGTTTTCATTCTTCTCATGGCTTCTGTCTTATTGATGGTCAGTTTCTTTTTGACATGGAATTATTTCCCATTAATGCTAGCATCGACCAATCTAGCGTACTACAATCTCTAGTTTCTTTACTTACTACTGCCAGTTGATAATATTACAGTTAATTTTAGAAGGAGGAACTGCTGTTGCGATATTCGTCAGATGCTTTGTGGATAAGGAAGGAATAGAACATGAGTTGAGGAGGAGGCTCTACATAAAGTTTCCTAGGGAAGTTCTTGCCACAATTTCTGTGAGTATCTTTTGGTTTCCTACTAATTAATCACTTGATGGTCTTCATATGGATGCATCTTGTATTGTTGATAGCACATTAACTAACAGAATGTCACAGGTTTTGTTGGTTTTACTAACAGCTTATAGCTCAGCAGCGCTAGGACAACTTTTCTTCTTTCACATGGTGCTCATCCGGAAGGTAACTCTGTCCAATGGCTGTCTTTATATTGCTCTTTCTGTTGGGTGATTCCCAACCATTGTTCCCTGGAAGCTCTCTCCCTTTCTGACATGAAAGCATGTCATTACTCGCTCCAGGGAATGAGAACTTATGATTACATACTGGCTATGAGAGAGAACCAAACTGTAGGATTTGATGTATTCGATGATTCGGATTCGGATGACAGTACTGACTACGATTCACCTGAAAAGTCAACTTTCATGTCTCGGTTTGTTTGCAGCGGACACAGAGGAGATCAGGTAAAGTCTGGAAATTCTCCTTTTAAAATTACCATGTAAGTTAGAAAAAATACTTCGTAGTGACAACTAGTTTTTGAATGGCCAGAATCACACGAGATTGTCGATAAGGATTGATGAAGATCCCAGATCTTCTCCTTTAACCAAGAAACAAGGATTCAATGTAAGTATTAACCCATGGAAGCTGATAAAATTAAGCACAGACAAAGCTCTTTTAGCAGCAGAAAAGGCCAGAGAGAGGCTCTTGAGACAGAAGGCAACAGTGGAAAGCGAATTACATCCATTGCCACTCGAGAAAAAACGTGGGCCTCTAATCAACACAGACAAGAACATGGCAACTGTCCTCACAGGCTTAACGCCCCTCGTTGCCAAAGGCGTGCTTCCAGGATCACCCAGGAGGTTTTCAAGTCCGAGAAGACGATTCTCTGGCTCTCCCACCATGGTCTCAGGTGTCATGGCATCGCCAAAGCAAAAGTATAGAAGCAATTTTGACCTAAAGTTGACAGAGGTCTCGAAAGAGCTCGAAACCTATATATCGAGGCAGGTTTTAAGTCCTGTCATACGAAAGGACGGGAGCGAAGCATCTCCGGGGCATATTTAGCGCTAGAAAATTCGAATTCTCGGTCTCAGAGATAATTCTTTGATTGATCTCTCTCTGCCTTTCTAATGTGTATTTCAGAACTAAGAGTTTTCCTCCTACCTTCTTTGTACCCTTTTTTGTTTCGCCATCCTGTAGTCAACGGCTTTCAACTACGATTCGACAATGTCGACTCATGCTCCGTCAGCTCAAACTTGTCGGCGATAGGATCGGATGCTGATGATATGAGTAACCAGAGTGATGCCTAGCTACGAGCATCAACAAAGCTCAAGAGCAGGATCTTTGTGAACCAGCAATTTGACAGTGTCGTCTTTTGAGATGAGGCTTTTAATCTGTTCCATCACATATCAAGACTGGGCTTCACTATGCAAATCCGGCCCCTGAAATTCCTAAGCCCTGCTCGGATTAGCTTTTTTGTCTATGTTTCGATCATGTTACTGTCTGCTCTTACTAATTACTGTGCATGAAGTTTTGTGTGCGTATTGAATTGGAAGTCTTAAATGGCCCGTCTCATGAAAAAATCAAACAATTTTTACACTGGGCCTGACACGCATGAGATTTTGTAGTAATGGTGCTAAGAATTATAACGCTTTTGATACAGCCTAATTCCTTAAATAAAAAAAAACCTCAACTTTAAGTCTAATCTTAATTTTGCACCGAATTTTTTTTTTGTCTAAAGAAAAATTCATCGATTTTTACTCTAGTTTCAAATTTGCCTCACTTAACCCTTCGTCAAAGAATCATTATTGGTTTATTCAAAATTATCAATATCAAGAGGCTGTTGTTCCATGTAAATGTTAGGGTGTTGAAGATGTGGGTTCTGATAATGAACCTCTAAGTGGTACTGATGTTGATACTTTTGAAGAAATCAATGACCATTTTTTAATGTGTCAGCAGAGATTTAGGACTAGAGTGAAAGTTGATAATTTTTTTTAGATAAAAAGTAAAAAGTTCGGGACTAAATTGAAATTTTAACCTAAAATTAAGGGTTTTTCTTTTGGGTTAATACCACGAAAAACCCAAAACTGGAACACTTGTGATAAATTTACCCTAAACTAATTTTTCGATCACCAAAAACCCCAAAACTAATACCCTTGTGACAAATTTAAATTGGTATGCCCGTGACAAACAAAAAGATAAATTCCTAAACTGGTACATCCGTCAACTGTCATGTATTATACAACTTAGCAATTTGATGGTAAAATTTAACGAAAACTAACTTAGAAGAAATTTGTCATAGGTATATCAGTTTGGAATTTTTTGTGATCAAAAAATTAATTTGTAGTAAATTTATCGTAAATGTATCAGTTTGAGATTTTTCATGGTATTAACTTCTACTTTTCTTCTTTTTTCGAGCGAGAGCGAGCCTGAAACTACATGTGTTTCATCGTGAAATGCGGAGCTGGGTGGGATTTCTGCTTTTCTGTTCTTTTCTAAAGCCCCGGCAATTGCCCGGCGGAACGAAACGCAAGCATCTTTCCATTCAACAGTTTCAAGGGGCGAAGTTGCAACCGCGCTCGCTCAGTGACCCCCCCCTCAGTTCGTCGGCCCCAGATTTCGGAATACGCACGCTCGGGACCACCGCCGTCTATTCTTTCCCCTCTGCTCCGAGGATTCCGTCGAGAAAGAGAAGCTTCTCGCCTTCCCTCTTTCGTGACTCGGAGCTTCGCCACCATGCGAAACCGGAGCAGAGCTTCGAAGAGGGCTCCTCCCGAACCCGCCAAGCCCAGTTCCGGTCCTCCGGAACAGGAGTGAGTGGCGTCAATCCGCTATCTCTGTCTCAAACATGGGCCCGTCGTTCGTTTTTTGTTTTCGTGTTTTCGACCGCTCACGTTTCCTGCCGTCGTTTTTATGAATTCCTTTTGCGGCTGCAGCGCCTTTGAAGGAGAAAGTCTCGGCCTTCTGCTCGAATCGATTCGAGGGTAAGGGATGAATCTCTCTGTCTGTGGTTTCTGGTGCGTTGCTTGGTTGTTTTTATTCGAGTTTCTCTGTTGGGCAGCAAGATTAAGGTAGCTAGGAGTTTGGATGGAGAGGCCTTACCAGAGAAAATATGGCTCAAGGTTGTTGAAATTTTGGGTAACTAGCTTTTGCTCTGTAATCATGGCCTTGTATCATATACTGATTGGAGAGGTTTTTTCCTGGAATTTTCTTAGCAACAATTTGCAATTGGGGTCAATGAAGTTACACGCGCGCTCGAACGAATGCCTCCATCTAATGGTGCAGCAGATGACTGTCCTCAGAAGTCACTTACCTCCGGCAACAATGATGCATCCTATCCCCGGCTTCAGGTTTGTTCGGCGACCTACTTTCCCATCGCTTGCATCAATGGAAACCTTTGCCTTTTACCACTTGCTATTACTGTTGCTGTTCCACTGTGGCGTGCCGGGGTGTGCTGGCTCACTGCCATGTCTTCCACACCATTAATGAATCAACTAGTCCCTCCTGGGGTCAATAAATTTTGTGGGAATCACCCGTTTTAGTGGTTCTTGAAAACTGGAATAATCATATTTGAGAAACTCGCAATTAGGCCTGACCTCTCTGTGAGATAATGTGAGAGACCATCTACTGTTCAGGAGCAAATCAGGCGTTGTGCAGCTGCTCTACTTCTGTTGTTCTTTAAGGTTGTCATCTATTTATTTAACTTTCACTGTCATCGTGGCTAAGGGAGTTCAATACACATGTATACGCAGGCTATTCTATTGGCATCCGATTGCAACCCCCGATGGTTGACCAGACATCTGCCAAGTCTAGCCTCATCGAGGAAGGTGCCGCTGATCTTTGTCAAAGATAAGAAGAGGGGATCTTTAAGGCTCGGAGAACTCGTCAACTTAAAAACTGCAATTGCAATCGGAATAAAGGTAGCAAACATAATGACCTTTTCGGATGGTATACCACACTCAATTTTAGACAATCCCCAGGCATCATTAGTTCTCTATCATTTCTCCATGAATGACAATTGATTACCTTAACAGGCTAAAGGAAATGCTGTCAATCATATCGTTGAGAAAATTCTTTGCAACAGCGACTTAAATATTGAAAGCAAGAGCACTGGGCAGAGTCTGCTAAACGGAGAAACTAATGGGAATCGGGATCGAGTGGGATGAGAAACAATTTTGCCTTTTCACAAGCTGGAAAAAAAGGACATCTTGGGAATCATTACCAGCCATATGTAAAACTGGCTTCACAGGGCTTGTCTTTTATTCCTGATCCTGATTTGATGGAACTAACATCCTCTCCGCAACAAGTGCATACTCTCGGCTTCATCTTCAAGCAGCTGTTTCGCGAGCCTTCTTGACTATGCTCAAGAGCCGACAATCGGAATACATCAGTTTGGAGAGCGCATGGATGTGTTATGAAAAGATTTTAATAGATTAAATATGTGGATTCGTCCCTGTTCTTAATTGCGACTGATGTGGAACTCATTACAATCAAGTTAATGGACATGGTTTACGATAAGAAGCTTGCTTGTGTTACACTGTCCAGCTTTTGTTTGTTATACAGAGATGCCTGGAGTCAGTATCATTGAATTTTTTATGTTCAAGCTTTACAATCACTCCCTTCATCTGCAAAAATTATTCCTTTACAAATAAATACAGCAGGCTCTTGTATTTTACAAGGAGAACAAAGACAAGCTTGTATATTGTTCCCATCCAAATGAATCGCGGCCAAAATTGTCACAGGACGCATCTATGCACTTGCCTGAGGACTGGCAGCCGGTGAAGATGACTCCACACTAACTGGATCAGGCTTGCCGCTGCTTCTACCGTTTGTAGTAGGTTTCCCTGGTGTTCCATTCCGATCCTCATCCTTTTTTACCAGCACTGGCTGAAACTGTAACAACGAAAAAAGAGGAAAAAGCAAACGTGATGATACGTCTATTGTGGTTTGTGTGAAGTTTTCTGAGTAGAATGTAAACCTGATATATGGAATATATGACATTTCTTCTGATCTGTGCCATCATGTCCAAAAACAAATTGTATCCTTCGAGCTTATACTCAATGAGAGGGTCCCTCTGAGCATATCCCCGCAAGCCCACCGCTTGCTGAACAAACTTGAGTGCTTGCAAGTGCTCCTTCCATAAACGGTCGATGTTGCTCAGTATTAAGAACTTCTCAGCTTCTGTCATCAACCCTGGTGCTTGTTTCTCGACGATCTCCTATTTGCAGTTCAAAAGGAAAATTAAAACGGTAAAGAAATTTATGCAACTAATATTTCACTTTTAACATAATTCTATATCTTGATGAAGTTAACAGGCAGCTATTATGAAACTTTTATCATTACATCAGCATAAATTTATAATGCCAGTATGTCTTTACCTGGGCGGGCTCTATGGGGTAGCATACAAAGATGAAGCATCATGTGTATTGTCGTGGGCTAACTTTAAACACTTGAAGGAAGCAGAATGTCTCACTCTCTAAGCTAATGAGATAATATACTGACCCTTTTCTGCATATATGCTTCCCGACCTCGAAGACGTAAGTAACCCTGCAATTCCTCATAACTTGAACCCTTGCTCCTCAGTAGATCTGGAGTCAAACCATTCAGCAGATAGCAATACCTGGAAATGAGCTTATCAGTTTAAATCTGAGAAGAAAGAATAAATAACGAATATCTCTTTGAGCCAGATATCATGCAAAGTATTACCCGAAGCAAAACGTAAACATTCAAATCTAGACACCCACGAGAAATATAACAGAGGTTGTAAGGAAGAAAAGGATTGGAGCACTGCTCCACTTTGTCTCATGTGGTGCATTTGAAGGAAATTAAAGATTATTCAAAGGAACTAAATCTTCACCTTATTCTGTTTTATGCAATTAAAATGCTTATGGACTTCATGATCTGATCTTACTTTGACTTAGAGTTAGTATCAACACTATGCTGTTTTCGTTGGTGTTCTTCTATATTTCTAATGCAAGCGAACAATTTTATATCAATGTCTCATAAAAAAAAGAAACATTACCAAAAGGGCGAAGAGCATACACAGCTGGTTTCTTTCGAACAATCAGTATATAAAATCAATAAAATCAACTTGAGGAGAAACTCAGGGAAAAAAAGAAAGCGAGTGACTGTCAGTTTTCCCGAAAGTGAGTGACCGTCAGTTTTCCCATGTTTAAACTATTTTAAGGATAAAGATGGTCAATTTTTTTGTAATTGGGAAATGAAAAACATAAGCAACTTACTGTTGAAGCTTCGCTATTAGTTTCTCGAGATCCCAACTTTCCGCCGGAGCATCAGGACCCACGTTAGCCTATAAATGATAAGCAGTCTTAGAAGCAATATATAATAAGACAAATAACATGAAACAAATGAAGGTATTCGCAGGGTGCAAAGGGTTCAAACAGTTCACCTCCAAGATGTCATCCATTGTCAACTCAGCATACTCAATAATGAGAGATTGAAGATCATCTGATTCAAGGGCTCTTCTTCTTTCTGCATATACACGGTCTCTTTGGCTATTTAGCACTTCATCATACTCAAACAATTGCTTCCTGATATCGAAGAAGTAGTTCTCCACTTTCCGTTGAGCTTCATCGAGTGCTTTTGTTAGCATTTTTGACTCAATCGGTAAGTCTTCAACTCTGAAAGCTCTCATCAAACCCTACACAATACGAAAATGCTTCAACAAGCATAATTTGTCGTAGAAAATATATCAGGACTCATTTACACTGCTTTTTTAAACCTGAATTCTATCTCCTCCGAAAATCCGGAAGATATTGTCTTCTAGACTGAGGAAGAACCGAGAACTTCCGGGATCCCCTTGTCGTCCACTTCGACCACGCAGCTGTCAGAAAAATTTAACTTATTTTATTGTGGCAAAAGAAACTACAAAAGAGCTATAATACAAATTAAAGTATTTTTGCGAATATGACCTGATTATCAATTCGTCGTGATTCATGCCGTTCTGTTCCTACCACATGAAGGCCTCCAGCTTGCACTACCTACAAACCAATCAAGTGGAAAGAGACTAATCAAGCAGAGAAAAAGTACAGCATATGAAACTTATTTATCAGAGGAGCTAAAAGACCTTATTTCTTTCTTCCTCAGTGAAGACCTTGAATTCTTTTGCAATTTCCAGAAAAGCACTCCTTAGCTTCACTATGACTTCATCCTGTGCAGGACCCTATAAAGTAGAACAATAGGATGATCTTGTTAATGATTCTCTGATTGTTAAAGTGCTGACTGAAAGGAAAGTAAGAATCTCACTGACTAAAAAAGAAAAAACAAAGGAAGAAAAATGATATGGTTAAATGAAAGGTCTCCAGATTGACATCTAGCACAGGAAATTTCATGGCTCTTTAGGTCAGAGGGTTCTAATACAGCTGCTAATCATCTTGAGTCCCAAAGAAATGGTAACAAGTCACGACAGCTTGTATCTCGAAGCAAACAAATATCTTGTATACAAACAACCAGAACAAGATCGGGCAATTAAGGAAAGGAGGTTAGAAAATGTTAGTAGGTATCATCATATGTTAAATTTCCTTGATTGCTACAGTGCATCTAACCTAAGATGATGATTCCCTATAGGTTGACAGTCCTCTGGATGGTTTTGCAAGTAAGAAGAGAGCATCTGAAGTGCAAGGAAATCGGCCATAACAAGGTTTTCAGAAGCTTTAGCTGCATAATAGAATTCATGGCCTAACTATTACGAGCACCCCCATTATATTCAATCAACTGATAGACTATTGGTTAAGATCATATTTCATGAACTTCACCTTTTCACAAGCATAAGATAGCCGCTCTTCTGCCTCAAGCTCTATTAATGATCTCTGACCCCATGTTTTCATTGCTAATTGCACAGCTTCCTCAGCCAGTTGGGTATTTCCACTGGATAGCTTGCAAGGGAAAATGTCTTCATTGACCTGGAAAATTAAAGTTTCCCAAGAAATATCTTACAATGACATATCACAATGAAACTTCAAGAGTTCATCATCTGAATTCAAGATTAACATCACAGAAAAATACCAACCTTCCATGTCTTTTTTGGAGGTGCCTTCTTCACTGATACAAAAACTCCCTCAACTGGTTTAACAACTCTGTACAATTTTCCATTCATCATTCAGAGGGACACCTGTCTGAGAATGTAGTGCAGGATTGACTGATAGTAGAATGCATCTATATTGGATAGCATCCCTCATGCTGTGCAAGTGAAGAAAACAAGTGCTGGAAACCTCAAAATGCCAGGCAACGCTCTTCCACACCAAGATTATGCATGTCACAAGCATATTAAAATTCAGAGAGCTACAGCTAGAACTGCCTCTCCTAAATTTCGAAATCAGTATAAAAATGCAATACCTCACATGAAACTCCTAGGACATATATAAACGTGATCTGAGATAAAACGCCCAGACATAAGAACTGGATGATTTCCAGCATTTTCGGTTTGTACCATGTCTTCTACACCAAACAAGGGTAGACCTGGATGATTTCTAGCAGAGGCATCTAGAGCGAGCCCATTGGATGTGCAGAAGAATAGAAATAAAACCACAAAAAAGTGGATCTAATATTGTAATATAATTTAGCGATGCTCAGGAAATACCTTGGCATAAGCATTTCACGTAGCTTCAATCTTGCCATAAACTCAGCATTACCACCAAGGATTATATCTGTTCCACGACCAGCCATATTGGTGGCAATAGTAACTGCTCCGAAGCGACCACTTTGTGCAACAATTTCCGCTTCTCTTTCCACATTCTCTGGCTTTGCATTAAGGACCTTTCACAGACGAAATAGACACTAATATCGACAGAACTTGCACATCAAACTTAGAGGTCAAGTTTCAACATTTAAAAAGAAAACGATAATGTAAAGTTAAAAAAAGAAGAATTTCAATTGAACAAAAATATTGAATAGGGGTGTGCCTTGTGCGCTTAATTGTTTGAAATCACAACTTCGTATATTTCAAACTGCCACATGGATATAAAGCAAAGATGAAAGACCATTTCACACTACAGATAAAGTAAAATAGTTTATTTCCATGTAAGTTAGAGAAGTTAAGGTTGCAGAAAAACAGGTATATAAGCCAATAATTGCCAGACTAAGAGACGTTAGGTACCCAATAGCAGCTTTGCCAGCAATTGAGTTCAAGCCAGTTTACTCTGACTGACTTTCTTAGGTGCGAAATTGAAGTCAATGCACAATTTTGTGCTAGAAGTGTCCTGAAATAAACATCGCCCAGCTAAAATCACAGCAATGTGGTGAGTGCAGAGCTCTAAAAACCAAAAAATGGACCTGAATAGGCTTCAGTATATCCTCTATTCTAGTGTAGTAAAGTAAAAGTCAATGTTAGTTCTCTTTACATAAAGAAAGTTTTCAATCAATGTAGAATGATTTCCCAGGAAAATTAAAATAAAAAAGATACTGAAAAAGTATCTACACATGGAGGATAACCCCAATCAATTTAACAAATCAGATCTACAGTACTTGCTGGAGATGTTACTCATTTTGTTTCAATCTCTAGATGCGTTTTTCAAAT